CACACACACACACACACACACACACACACACACGAGAACGTGGTCAGATTCAGAGAAAGTGGGTAAGAGCAGGGAGGTAGGAAAGGAAACAGTAAGATGGCAGGGTTACATTTAGGGCAAGATGATGCTTACAAGCTCATCTCTCCTCCTAGTATGTCAGGAACAGTGACAGGAAGGGAAAGTATAAATGTTTAAGCTGAACACTGAAAAGATGAAGTGTCCTCAAATAAGATGGAGAAGGCTGTGGAGGACAAATTTTGAATTTGGTAAGCTCTACTGTTTTCAATACGTCTTCTCAAGCCCTGAAAATAATGTCAACAACAAAAATCTACCATAACATACTGTCTAGAATCCTGCTCCCCCTGACACTAGCTTTACAACCCATGAACAAGTAAGAGATATAGAACTCAGAGTATTTCAAAAGAAACTCATTTTTAACACTGTTCTTTAAATACATGACAAAGCTACCTGTATCATGTATTCAATTGTTGAAAACTGGGGCATCAATTCAGCAGGCTGATTCACCTCAGATATGCCTGCATATGCTGGAGGGAACTGAAGAAAATAAAACAAACAAAACATTTAGTGCTGAAAGTTACTTATATTACACTTTTTCCTCTGTACAAGGAGCTAAACCTAGGCCTCGTGCTTACAGTCCTGGTCTATGTTACACTTTTTATTTTCCATTTATAAAACTGGATGATATCCCTATGCTGATTCTACAAGCACAAAATACAAAACTTGCTACTAAGACAAAAACAACATTTAAACTTCTAATTCTCTTACATTAATATGATTTCATAACCTTAAAAAATGATTTTTTTAGAGAAGACCTGTTCACCCGTATAGTCATATATGAATTTTACAATACTATTAGAAACATTTCTTAAGCTTTTTCCTGCAAGCCACATGCTGAGATTTTTTTCAATAGTCTGTATGAAGTTGAAGATATAGCTCAGTGGTACAGAGCTTCCCTAGCATTCACAAGGCCCTAGATCCCACTCAGTTCTGGAGGGGAACATAGCATATATAGAAGATAAAGTCTTCAATTATGCCTATTGTTTCAGCTGTTATCAATAGAGTAATACATTTTCTGTGTAGAAAAATTGACAAGTTCAAGAAAATGAAAACAGGAAGAAAAAACTTCCAGATCCTCTGAGCAGCCACTGTCAACATCCTGACATATACCCTTCCAGACTCTATTTAAATAATTGTGCTAACTCCATATATATGAGTTAGAGGCCTGCTTTTTACATTATATAGGCATTTTCTTTTGTTTTTAAAGCTTTCTGCAAACATTTTAATAATCTGAATAATCTTTAGAGTTACATTAAAAAAGTGTAGGTGTCTCTCTCCTAGTTAGGAGGTGATTACTTCAGGTCAATAAGCTCAGAATGACCAAGGCAAGCCCTGCTAAGATGACAAGCACATTCAAGGGGCACTGGCCAGGAGGGGTATGACTGGGAACCAAACCCGAGTCCTTTGCTAGAGCAGCCAGTGTTCTTTTTTTTTTTTTTTTAAGGTGTTTATTATTTTTATTTTATGTATATGAATACATTGCTTGCATGTGTGTAAGTGCATTCGTGTTGTGCAATGCCTGTGGAGGTCAGAAGGAGGCGTCAGATCCCCTGGAACTGGAGTTATGGACAGTTGTCAGTCGCTATTGGGTGCTGGGAATTGAACCTGGGTCCTCTGCAAGAGCAGCCAGTGCTCTTAACTGCTGAGCCATCTCTCCAGCCCCAGCAGCCAGTGCTCTTAACCATTGAGCCCTCTCTCCAGTCTAGGAGCAGTTACTTTTAAAGAGAAGTCTTGGTTGTGGATATTGCTCAGTGATAAAATATAAGTTTAGCAGACACAAGGCCTAGGGCTCCATCTTAGCACCAAAAAGAAAAAAGAAAGACTGGGAAGTCATGCTTGTCATTTGAGTTTCTTTTAGTTTAGTAGTTTTAAAATTCTTTAAATCAAAAGCTCAACAGTGATACTTGGACCCTAAAGTTTAAAAGATGAGAAGATAACAATTCAATTACACCCACCATCTAACTAGAATATTAATGAAGTCAGGTAAAATATAAACAATAGTTCTATTTTCTTTAGGTAATATATTCAATTCCTATAGAAAATTTACAAAGATAGTCTATGTTCCCTATTCAGCAAATGACAAGGTCTAAATAATGAAACTATTTTCAAAAATCATAATGTTCAAGTTTTAATAGTGTACCTAACAAAAGCTATTACCTCACAGCACCAAAGAGTGCTAACTACCAGTGTAGACAAAAATTCAAATTCATGTAATCTTTTTCGGAGCAGTACAACAAAAGTTAACCATACATTTTTCAATTCACATACCTGATTTCTTTGGAAACAAAAATTACAAGCCCAAAGTTTTGCTCGATAATCAACTTGGCTGCAAGGAAGATAAATAAATATCACAAATAGGTATTATATGTATTTTAAGGTGGAGAACATTGAAATGTAAAATTTTAAGTTCAATAAATTACCTAGACATGTGTTTCTATGTGTGTGCATAAATGTAATTTTTCCTAAAATTTCACCCACAGGGAAGATTCTGGCTATCAAGTACACCAAAAGTTTCCCTCAAACAGTTGTACTCAGTAAATTCTTCTTTGTCTTTTCTAGTTCCACTGTCACGTTTTATAATTTCTTCACTCATATAAATTTTATACTAGCCATTATCATTTTTATTGTTCAACTATGTAAAACTACCTAATTTTAATAACAAATGCACGTTTCATACTTAGGCAAAACTTTACTTAGGCTACCTGAAAGCATGTTTTCAGGCTGATAAACCTACTAGAACTGCTTCAAAATAAAGCTTCTGTTGCTTTCTTCCCTTTCTACATTTAGGAAATTAATGACCAATAGCTATCATTTTACAAGTAGAGTAGAAATATATGGGTACAATCAATGAAAGCAAGGGGGAATAGAAAAAAATGCTCCTGCACATGAAAATGTTGACATTCTCAACTTGTTTCAGAATCTCTTCAGCTGGGTATGTGGTGGATCCTGCAGTCTCATGGAATCCCAGCTAATGTAGGAGGGTCATATGTGCCCTAGAGTTTGAGATCAGGTTAGGCAATACAGACACTCTAGCTCCAAAGGTAATGGGAGAAAAAAAATCTTTCCAATATTGTGCAGATGTATGAACAGCATAAGTCACTAAGATACAAATTATTAGGAATTGGAGCTGGACAGATGGCTCAGTGGCTAGAGCACTGGTTGCTCTTGCAGAGGACCAGGGTTTGGTTCCCAGAATCTGCATGGTGGCTAACAGTTGTCCTTAACTTCCGTTTCAGGGGATCCACTGACCTCTTCTGGCCTCCATGGGTATTGCCTGACATAGGTTCCCTTACATACATGCAGGCAAAACACTCAATAAAATAAAAAATAAAAATAAATTAATTATTAGTAATTAATTTCTTCTGCAGGACTGGAGAGATGGTTCAATGGTTAGGAGCACTTCCAGAGGACCCGAGTTCAGTTCCCAGCACCCACAAGGCAGCGCAGATAACCTATGACTCCAGCTCCAGGAGATCTGATGCCCTCTTCTGGCCTCCACAGACACACAGACACACATATAGATAAAAATAAATCTTCACAAAAAATTTATTTTATCTGCCTACTACTTCTTCCAGCCTGACCACATCATCATACCAGGTAAGTACGAGAAAAGAGACTAAAAAAAAAAACAAAACCACTTAGCCAAGCCAGTACACTCCTTTAATTCCAGCACTTGAGAGGCAGAGAGAGGTGACTCTCTGGGAGAGCAAGGCCAGCCTGGTCTACGTAGCAAGTTCCAGGCTAGCTGGGGCTACAGGAAGACCTGGTCTCAATCTCCACCCCCACCAAAATTTAAAAATCATCTTATAAGGTCTATAATTAAATCAGAAGCTCAGTGATAATCAGAAAAAAAGAGACGGAGGAAGGGGAATGAATCTATCTTCCCCTTGCCCCTCATTCCCATAAGATTCAAATTTTATTTGGAGTGTCAGGCCAGGGAGGTTTCTATGAGCATTTATCCCTAAGAATCTTATCATCTACTTCTCATCTCAAATTGGTAACTTTCTCAAAGTGAGTAGCTCTCATGAGAATTGCATAAAGATGGTAACTTAGCCAGGTGTGGTGGCGCACGCCTTTAATCCCAGCACTTGGGAGGCAGAGGCAGGCGGATCTTTGTGAGTTCAAGGCCAGCCTGGTCTACATAGTGAGTTCCAGGACAGCTGGGGCAACAGGGAGACCCTGTCTCAAAAAGACAAAAAAAAAAAAAAAAAAAAAAAAAAAAAAAGATGGCAACTTACTAGATTTATCATTTTTACCAGTTTTTAAAAACAATTCATACCAAAGTGGATTGAGAATAGCTTTGCAGGTTGGCCTGCTGCAAAGCACAGGTTCATACTGTACAGGAGGCAGGTCTGGGCGTTCTTTTAATGGAGTGAGGAGACAAGCCAGGGGAACAACCATTCTTGTGGCTTCAAGGCGGCTAGAAGGCCACACATTCCAACTGAAACGTACACCATCTTGTTCTTCATTCTGCTGAATGAACTCCAGATATGTTGCCATGGTCTAAAAAGAAACTAAAGACAAAACTTAATTACATGAGAAATTCAAAAAAGATGGTCCCAAGCTAGGTGCAGTGGCTCACACCTGTTATCCCAGCACTCAAAGATGCCAAAGCAAAAAGTGCTGTTCCTTTCTCAAACTATCTCTGTAGCACTTGAAAATAGTTAATCAAAGGGGATGGAGGTTCAATTATTTGACCATCTCTAAGTTGTGTATAGTTGAATATTACTACTTATTTACTTATAGTGATGAGGATCAAACCAGGGCCTTGGATATGCTAGGCAAGCACTCTACACTGAGCTACAACTTCTGTCCAAATTCTACTACAGCTTCCTCAGAGATCACATATTTCAGACCAGTCAATTCCAACACCTTGTACAAAGTTTTGAACTCTGTTTCATCATGCACCAATAGGAGCTGGAGACATGGCTCAGCAGTTAAGAGCATTTGCTGTTCTTGCATAAGACCTGGGTTTAGTTCACCCACATGGAGGCTAACATCAGTCCTTGAACTACAGTTCCAAGGAAGCTGATGGCCTCTTCTAGCTTCTGTGAGCACTACATGCATGTGGTACAGTTATTTGCTGACAAAACACACGTGCAAATATATAAGTAAATCTTAAAACAAATTTTTTTTAATCCCACTGTTTTCTTCTGATTCCTTTCATTCTCAAACAAGGCAAATACTGTATGAAAGTTTACAGTCCAAATAACGATTGTGTGAGTGTGTGTGTGTGTGTGTGTGTGTGTGCCCTTTCCCCTCCCCCTTTTGCTAACTGTGGAGAAAAGAAGTGGACACTGATTTGAGAGTCAGGTTATGAACAGGAAGCATCTCTGCACTCAGGAATTTCTAAAGGGCAAACTAAAATTACAAAGGAAAGCTTTCTATTATGCCAAGTTTTCACTATGTCCTCTTTCCTTACCATGTTTGCATAAGTTCATCCTTGACAGACTCTGGTAAATAAAACAGTCCTTCAGACTGAGTTTTAAACTCAGAAAACCCAAATTTTGTTGAGTAAATACATCCTATTTATGACTAAAATACAGAGACACATAAGTTATTGAGGTTCAAGGGAACAAGCCCTTCAAAAAAAGCAGGTAAGGGCTGGTGAGATGGCTCAGCAGGTAAAGTGCTTGCCACACAGGCCTAATGACCTGAGTTCAGTGTCCAGAACCTATGTAAAGGTGGAAGCAGAGAATCAACTTCACAAAAGGTACTTCCTGATCTATACATAGGAGCGTGACAAGTGCATGTCTCTGTCTGTCTGTCTGTCTCTCTCTCACACACACACGGACACACACACACACACACACACACACAAATAAATAAAATAAGATAAAATGAAGGGAAAAAAAGAAAGCAGGAAAATTAAAGAATCTAAGAAATAAGCATGCTGGCATGTTCTTCTAAGGTGAAACAAAGAAGTTCAAAGCCTCCTGGGCTACAAAGGGAGATGCTGTCTAAAAACAAGCAAGCAAGCAAACAAACAAACAAACAAACAAAAACCTATAACAGTAAGCAGCCTTCAGTGCCACTTTATGCAGTGCTTAAAAACTGTCTCATGTTACTTTGAGAAGTGTCATACTGGAAATAACTTGGATGAGGGCAATTTTAACATGGCCAGAAAAGCAAATGAATTATTCTACTATGTAGAATCCAGACAACAAAAATGTCAAAGTTTTGTTTCAACTGAAACTGTATTGACTATTTGTTATCTCTGGCAAAACAGGAAGCTGAAACACTGACTATACAGCAAACGCCTCTGTAGCTTTCTGGGAAGCAAATAGGTAAGTCAGGTGGAACCAAGAGCAAGTTCTAATACCACAATTATTAGCACCAGAGATTACCTCAGCAAACTCCATTAAATAGCGGTAATCTCTCCTAAAAGTTCTTTATCTAAACGCACAGGTCCCTAAGTAGCTACACATTAAAGCCTGCTCCTTGTTTCCCATTGCCTCTTTTCCTAATCCTTATAGATCACGGTTTCTTCTCATTGGCAGTAGTCCAGAAGATTTCAGAGGGTTCATGAATCCTCTGAAATTCTATGCAATGTTGAGAAAATGTACCTTTTTATAGATAAATCCATGGTTCATATCAAATTGTCAAAGAGTAGAGGTATCAGAAGAGATAAAAAAGAATGAATGAATTAGTGAATGAATGAATGAATGATGAATGAATGAATGAATGGCTCAGAAAGGTATCCAATAAAATAGCTGACCCACCCTCAGCTCTCCAGGACATAACTTTCCAGGATATAGTAACCATCTGCAGACACGATTAAGCAATGCTTAATCCTGTAAAGGTCTGAAGAAGGAAGACCTGGTTTCTAGGTTCACTTCTGACAAAGAAAAACTCTCCAGTTTTTCATGGGAACTAGGTCCTTTCGGATGTTCGCGACCCCAATTCCGATTGCTGGGGAGTCAGAAACGGGTCCTCTGCCACCTGGCATGGTGCAGACGAGATACTTCAGCAGGCACCTGGGCATCGATTTCCTCTGATCGGTTTTCACAGCAACCAGAGCTCGGCTCGGGCTCCCACCGCCAAGTCCAGCTCAGCTCACAGCCGACTGGTCAGCGCTCAAACACGTCAATCCACAGCGCCATCCTCTAGCCAATCAAAGGTAGGTTTTCTGGCGAACCCCCAGAAACCGACACACTCAGAGAAGTTGCGCCGCCATCTTTGGATAGGGCAAGGCAGTGGTTCCTGGCACTTCACAATCACAGTTCTCTTAGGTTACAGGCTTTCTAGAATATATCCCTAAAGGTTTCCCCTTCACAGAACCTCAGCGCCTGTGGGACCAGTATCTAGACTCATCCAGCACTCCTCAGGGCCCTAACGTGACGTCCGCCTGCCTCCCGGGGAAAGTCCCTCTCATCGGCTTAGATACCGGGAAGCGAGAAGAGTGACGTGTAGCCCCGGAAGAAGCGGCGTGCGGGCTGGAGGGCGAAGTCGTCCGGAAGGAGTCATCCTGCAGAAGGATGCAGAAGGGGTGCGGAGGCGGGCTCTAGAGCTGTCTCTCTGCTAGCTAAATTACTGCCAAGAATGACAGGAGTAGGTACTTCTGTAAACATTAAAGAACTTTCCCTTCCCACTTGCTAGCTTGATCTCCGGCGCTCAGCGGAGACTGACACGAGCGCACTGGCCCTCTCTGAGTGCCCAACTCCTGTCATCCTCCGACAAGGAAATGAGTAATTGGAAACGGTCATAGTCAAGGATTTTAGGAGACTAACAAAGTCAGTACTTATAGGCAACACAACTCTGTGACCACCACAGCCGTTTTAGTTCCACTTTTACAAGTGGCCAAAAATCAGCAGGTATGTTACAGGCTTTTGTAACATAAAACCAAAACTATTTTTTTTTAAAAAAAGATTTATTTTTATTTTTAATCATGTGTATGTGTGTGTGGGTGTCTTCACGTGAGTGCAGATGCCTACTGAAGTCAGAAGGGGACATCAGATCCCTGAGCTCACCGACATGGATGCTGGGATCCCAACTCGGGTCCTCTACAAGAGCAGTACTCTTAACCAGTGAGCCATCTCTCTAGTTCCCAAAGTCTAAACTCTTAAAATTATGCTAAGGCCCAGCACTTGGGAGGCAGAGGCAGGCGGATCTCTGTGAGTTCGAGGCCAGCTGGGGCTACAGGGAGACCCTGTCTTAGTAAGACCAAAAATGTTTTTTTTTTTTTTAAATTATGCTAAGGCATATCGAGGCATTCAAAAAGTACACATTAGCCCACTTTATTATTAGTTTAAACTGTTTGTTTGTTTGAGACTGTCTCCCTGTAGCCCCAACTGTCCTGGAACTCCTTGTGTAGACCAAGTTCACCTTGATTTCACAGAGATCCACCTGCCTCCACTTCCCCAGTGACAGGATTAAAGAGTTATGTGCAACCATACCCAACTAATTCAAACTTTTAAAAAAGATTATCCTTTTATTTTTATATATTTTATTTGTTATTTTTATTTTATGTGTATGAGCGTATTGCCTGCATGTAAGTGCACCCGTGTGGTGCAATGTCTATGGAGGTCAGAAAACAGTGTCGGATTCCTCTGAAACTGGAGTTACAGTTTTTAACCACCATGTAGGTGCTAGGAACTGAACCCAGGTCCTCTGCAAGAGCAACCAGGCTCTTAACTGCTGAGCCATCTCTCCATCCCCTCATTTAAATTTTAAAAAAATATTTTATTATTTTTATTTTATGTGTATGTGTGTATTGCCTGTGTGTAAGTGCACCCATGTCATGCAATGCCCGCAAAGGACAGAAGAGGCTGTTGGAACCCCTGGAACTGGAGTTTTGGACAGTTGTTAGCTGCCACGTGGGTGCTAGGATTCAAACCTGGGTCTCCCAATAATTTTTTTTTGTCTTTTTGAAGCAGGGTCTCCCTGTAGCCCCAGCTGTCCTGGAACTCACTATGTAGACCAGATTGGCCTTGAACTCACAGAGATCCGCCTGCCTTTGCCTCCCAAGTGCTGGGACTACAGGCGTGTGCCACCACACCCGGCTCCAATAAATTTTTTAAACTACTCACAAAGCATAGAAATTTTTTAAGTAGATGTTACTATAAAACATAATTATTAACATAAAAATCTTTTCAGGATAGTAATTCAGCTTTGTTGAACAAATGTGCATTTTCATCATCTTAAATATAAGTAATGTTAATATTAGCTTATTTGTAACCTTATATACATTTATAAAATTCAAAGTAATTTCTTTGTAAGGAAACACTAGCACAGACACACACATATACATGAACATGTATAATCACATATAACTGCACACACCAAAATTTAAAAATAGAAGGCGGCTAATTGTTTTTATTTACTTTTATTTAGTTTTTGAGACAGGGTCTTACTATGTAGCCCAGGCTAGTCCCGAGCACAAAGATCTGCTTGCCTCTGCCTCCTAAGTGCAGGGATCAAGGATGTGTGCCACTGTGCCTGGCAGTGTTTATTTCTTCCTGAGTTGTTTGAGATTTGAGCATAGTTTTTGTACTCAAGGCTCTCATTATCCTTGACAGAATGCAATTTTCCTGCCTTCCTCAATAAAAGGCTCATGGGAAAAAGACTGAAGGCAACTGGCTCTTGGTTCTTTTTCTGGTTTGCCTGCCTCACCCTCTGCCCCTCTTGCAAGGTGTACTTTGCTTCCATTGTACCCCAGTTTCATTAAAAGCTTCCTTAACTTTTATTCTGATCTCTATTCAGTTCTTTGTTTGGGAAGGTGATCTAGGGGAGGCATCCCTATCCTTAAACGCAAGAACCGAGATGATTCCCCGTTCTTCTAATACTTTTTAATACTTGGTCTGGTCCAGGCAAGCCTTGAACTTGCACTTCATCTTCCTCAGCCTCCAAAATGGCTGGGAACATAGTTCTGTGCCACAGGGTTAGGCTTTGCTGTTTGTTCCTGGCACAGATTCACAATCGTTACAGAGCAGTGAAGGTGAAAGATAATTTTTTATTCAGTTTTATCTTGTTTGTATGAGTGTTTTACCTACATTTAAGTGCACCCATGCGTGCAATGCCAGAAAAGGACAGAAAAGAGCGTCAGATCCCCTGAACTGGAATTATGGAAGATTATTAGCCTCCTTTGGGTGCTGGGAACTGAAACCAGGCCCGCTGCAAGAGCAGCCACTGCTCTTAACTGCTGGGCCATCTTTCCAGCCGGGAAAGACAATTTTTTATTATTATGTTGGAGCAATTTAGGTATTGTAAGCAGATCTTGGGGCAGCAAAATGGCTCGGCAGGTAAAGGCGCTTGCCGCCAAGCCTGATGGCCTCTGAGTTTGAGCTCCTGGACCCACATGGTGGAGGAAGAGTGGGGATTCCCGAAAGTTGTCTGCAGACTACTGCACGCAGAACGTGGCACACATGCCTCCACACACATCAAGCGCCCTGCCCCCTCCCATCATGCGCTCACACAGGACGTCGATGATGATGATGATGGTGATGATGGTGGTGGTGGTGATGATGAAAGTACTTTTAAAATTCCTCTCTTATAGAAATACTAGTAATAATAAAGAGATAACACATTCTGGGCATGTTGGCTGTCTTACATATAAGGGGCGTAGAGTATGTGAGCGCTGTCACAGGTAAGTCTACTGCGATTTACCTTTGATTGTAATTCAGGAGGTTTACATTTGGATGGTGCTCTAGCTAAGAAAAGCCAGAGTAAAGGCGCGGGCCTCTGTGTGTTCTAGGACTACAATTCCCAGAAGGCTTCAGTGTGGGATGCAGTCTTGGTCCAAGTACTGCAATTCGGTGGTCTGAGTCTCTGCATTCATGGAGTCCCCTAGCAAGGCAGTAATTGTTCCCGGGAACGGAGGCGGGGACGTGGCCACCCACGGCTGGTACGGTTGGGTGAGAAAAAGACTGGAGCAGGTAAGAAGCCTGGCGCTGTGGGGAGGGAGGAAGACCCGGAGCGAGGCCCAAGCAGCGCTGCGTCTTATATCGAAACTAGTGGCCAGGATCTTCTCTAGGGGCTCAGTTCTTAAAAGAAACCCGATTTTAGAACTGCAGAGAACCCTCCTCTTTGCCCCATCTCATCGACCGTGGGTTCAAATTCGAGATGTCTAGGATAATTTTACACTTATGTTTATTGCTTTAGGTTGTTTTTTAATTCACTATGTAATATTTAATGTATACAAGTGAAACTACCACTGAGCTACACCCCAACCCAAATTTTAGAATACAGCCAGTATCTTCTAAATGATGTGTCTCATATCTCATCCCCATGGCACCCTGAAATTTATTTTGCTTCTCTCTCTCTCTCTCTCTCTCCCCACATTGTATGTGTGAGGGAGGTGGAGGAGACCTGTGCCACAGTATGCATTTGGAGATAGACATCAGGTTTGTATAGTCAGTTTTCTCCTTCCACCTTTCCTTGGGTTTCTGGGATGAAACTCAGGTTACCAGGTTTGCACTGCAAGCGCCATTACCAGCTGAGTCATCTCTGGCTCTTTTGCTTCTCTTGTTAAAATTTAAATATTTGCTAGGCATAGTTGCACACATCTTTAATCAGAGCACTCAGGAAGCAGAGGCAAGTGGATCTCTGTGAGTTTGGTGCCAGTGTGGTCTACATAGCGAGTGAGACCCCATATGAAAAAAAAAAGTTACAAAGTACAGTGAAACTCCTGCCTTTAATTTCAGCATTCTGGAGGCAGAGGCAAGCAAACCTCTGAGTTCAAGGCCAGCCAGTGCTACATGGTGAGATCCTGACTCGACAAAACAAACAAAACAAAAAATTAAAGTACTTTTACAATCCATATATATAATCTTTAAACCCCATATTGTCTGATTTGGCTTCTTTGTGAGTCGTCTATGTGAGTTTTAGAAAAATAACATCCTACCATAGGTTATAAGTTATCCTGTGTATCTTGTCTTCAAAAAACAAAAAGCAAAAACCTCTTCCGTAGTCCAGCAGTAAGAGTTTCCTGGGTTGACCTCTAAAATAGAATTTCAGTAGAAATTCCATAGAGTAAATGCATTCCATGGAGTGTCTTTGGAATAAAATTTCAGGGCTGTGGCCAAAAGCCATGGGCAAAGCTACCAAGCAAAAGGTTAGGCTGGGAATGGCCAACAAGATGGGATGCCCAACTTTTTTTTTAATTGAATTTTTTGATTTTCATACAATATAGTTTGATGGTATTTAGATCAGCTTCCCCTACCCCCACCTCCCTTTCTGCCCCCCCATTTAATATACTATATATTTAATAAAGTATATATAGTGTAATTTGTGTCTCCTAATGTCCAGTGTGTGTCCATCCAATGGAGCTTGGTTAACCTACCAAGATTACCATGCTTGAAAGAGACTGTCTCTGCCCCTCCCAGCAGCCATCTGTTGCCACAGTTTTCTTAGACAGAATTGGGTCCTCTTTCCTATTTCCTCATGTCTGTGCTGGGATTTTTTGTTTTTCTGATTTGAGTTTGAATGGGACTTGTGCATGCTGTCACTACTGCTCTGAGTTCTTATGAGTGGTCAGCTGTATGGAAAACTGTTTCATTGTGGTCATCCACCACCTGCCTCCTACAGTCTTCCACCCCCTCTTCCACAATGATCCCTGAGCCTTGGGAGGCAGAAGTTTGATATAGGTGTCCTATCAGGAATAAGTACTCTGCAGCTTCTTGTTCTCTGCATGTTGGCCAGTTGTGAGTTTCTATGTTAATCACTACCTGTTGCATAAGGAAACTTCTCTGGTCAGAGTTATAAGATGCATTAATCTATGAGTATAACAATAAGTCAGTAAGAGTCAGTTTAAATATGATAACTATTTAGTAGAAAACTAGTATTAGGTTCTCCCCTATGTCCTCTGACCTGTCTAGCCTCAGGTTCCTAAGCCTGATATTGGTGTCAGGTATGGAATCAGACCTTAAAGCCATTTAAAGAGTGGTTGGTTGCTCCCATAATACTTGTGCCACTATTGTACTAGTGGATGCCCATGTTTTTGTATGGTGTCTCTGTATTTTGTTTTACTTACACCCTGGGGCACAGTCTATTTGACTCCAGTTCATTCTGCATGAACTTAGGCCTTTTCTATAGATAGCTGTCTTAGCAATAAAGATAGATGTGTAAGTTCAGACACAGGTCTCTGTAGAGACTACAAGATTGACTGGGTAGAGAAGTAGAGATGGGGTGCATATTCACATGTAATCTGATAACCCTGCTTAATGCACTTCATTTCATAAAATAAGCAAATACAGAATTGATGAAGATCATTTCAGGTGTCTTTTTTTTAATTGGGTGCACCCAAATTTTGTGAATATATGTTCATGATTATATCTTCTTGGTCAATTGTTCCTTTGATTAGAATGAAATAACCCTCCTTATCTCTTCTGATTAGTTTTAATTTGAAGTCTATTTTGTCAGATATTAGGATTGCAGCACTTACTGGCTTCTTGCCATTTGTTTGGAATATTTTTTTCCATCTTTTCACCCTAAGGTAGTACCTGTCCCTGAAGGTGAGATGAGTTTCTTGCAGACAACAAATAAGATAGATTTTATTTAGTTATTTATTCATTTTAAAATTTTTTATGTGTATGAGTGTATTGCCTGCATGTAGGTAAGTGCACCCACGTTGTGCAATGCCCATGGAGAACAGAAGAGGCTGTCAGATCCCCTGGAACTGGAGTTACGGACAGTTGTTAGCTGCCATGTGGGTGCTGGGGTTTGAACTCAGGTCTTCTGCAAGAACAGCCAGTGTTCTTAACCACTGAGCCATCTCTCTAGCCCCTAGATTTTGTTTCTTAATCCAGCCAATTTGCCTATGTCTTTTGACTGGGGTATTGAGGCCATTGATATTTAAAGTTATTATTGAAAGATGTGTATTGGTTACTGTCATTTTAATTTCTATTTGTGTTCCTGGGTAGGCCTAGTTTGGTAGATATGAATTCTTTCAGTCTATTTGTGTCTTGGAAGATTTTTCTTTCCCCTTCAACTATGATGAAGACAGTTTTGCTGGGTAAAGTATTGTAGGTCAGCATCTATGGTCATTTAGAACTTGAAATACTTTGGTCCAGGCTCTTCTGGCTTTTAAAGTTTGCATTGAAAAGTGGGCTGTAATTCTGATGGATTTTTCTTTATATGTGACTTGTTTTTCTCTTGTGGCTTTCAGTATTCTCGCTTTCTTCTGTACATTTAGTGTTTTTACTGTGATATGCTGTGGGGAATTTCTGTTCTGGTCCTGTCTATTTGGTGTTCTGTGTGCTTTTTGTATTTGTATGAGTATGTCTTTCCTTAATTTAGGGAAATTCTTTATTTTTTAAAAAAAATTTGTTTTTATGTGTATGAGACTATTTCCTGCATGTGCAATGACACTATTCCCTGTAGTGCAATGACAGAAGAGGTTAGAAGAGGGTGTTGGATTCCCTAGAACTGGAGTTATGGACAGTCATTAGCTGCCATGTGGGCGCTGTGAACCAAACCCAGGTCCTCTGCAAGAGCAGCTTGACCCATCTCTCAAGGCCTGGAAATTCTCTTCTGTGATCCTGTTGAAGATCTGGTCTTCTCCTTCCTCTATGCGTATAATATATAAATTTGGTCTTTTCATGGTGATCCACATTTCCTGCATATTCCACTCCTGTGTTTTTAAATTTCCTAATATTCTTTGCTTGAGCAGTCCAATTCTTCAACTCTGTTGTCCAGTCATTATATTCTGTTTTCCATTTCGTTCATTCTGTTGGTGAGGCTTTCTCCTATCATTTCAAATTGACTTACTACATTTTTTAGTTCCTTCTTCATTTCAGCTTGAGTTTTCTTCACTATTTCTCTCTCTTGAGAACCCACTTTTCAACTCCTGAATTGACTTTGTCATTTTATCCATCTGTATATCTGTATTGTTTTGAGCTTCAGTCAGAAGTTTATCCCTACCTTCTTTGAGTTCTTTGAGTTGTCTGTGTGTTCTTTAAATTCACTGAATTCTTTGATCATGCTTATGACTGTTCTTTTAAATTCTGTGTCCTGGTTTTCCTCTGGGAAGTTTTCATTGTGGAACTCTTCTATGGGGCTGATGGTATTTGGTGAGGACATATTATCTTGTTTTTTCATTTTATTATTTTTTCATTGTGGGTTTCTTTTGTTGCTTGTGGTTCTGGTGTGAAACTCAAGCCTGCCTTTGTTGATTTGAAGTTTGATTCTATTTGTATTCTTAATGTTGCTTGGTTCCTTTCTGATTGGTCTGAGTTTCAGGTTCTCTTCTTTGATTTTATACTGGAGGGACCAGCAGGATCCAGGTACGCTCCTCAGAAGCTCTCCAGAAGGGCAAAGGAGCCCTGTCTAATTAGAAGGAGCCCTGGCTAGTTAGAAGGAGCCCTGGCTAGTTAGGCACACTCCTCCCACCCCTACCCCCTTCCCCCCAATCTCAGCAGGATGGACCCGAGGCCAAAGGAGAGGGGATGAGAATAGAATGGGCCAGCTCCTACTAGCCAGCAGGGAAGACTGAGCCCTACTGGAGTAGTAGGAGGGACTAGAGCTGATCCCAAAGCAGGGGGATGGGCACAGCAGGATTTGGGCAGCTCACACTGGAGGTAGAATCAGGCACTCTCAGAGGGATGGTCCAAGGCCCAAGGGGAGAGGATGGGAATTGAATGTGCCAGCTCTTCAGGTGTCATATTTCTTATTAGCAAAGTGTTAGTTGCAATTAAGCTCTTTATTACAGCTTTTTTCCCCCTCATATCATAGATTCCTGGTTTCCAGTGTTTGGCTAAAAACATGCCTGACCCAAGTAAGTTTTAAACTTGTTTTTAAAAAGTCTCATCCTGTTAGGTAGTGATCTCTCCATTTTGGGGATGGTAGAAAACAGGAATATCATAGTAGAAAAGCCAAAGATAAATATATACTAAGAATGAATAAAGAAATAGCTTGGGGAAGAGGACATAAGCCAAAAAGTATGGACGATTTTAGTTAGGATCAAGAAAAGCAGCTGGGTGTGGTAAAATTTAATTTTTATCTTTGTAAGCAATTTTCCTTTCTAAGCATCTACAGATATATTCAGGCAAAATTTGTGGGTGTAGCCAGTCATGGTGGTGCATGCCTTTAATCCCAACACTTGGGAGGCAGAGGCAGGCAGATCTATGTGAGTTTGAGGCCAGCATGGTCTACATAGCGAGTTCCAGGCCCACTGGGGCTATGGGGAGATCCTGTCTCAAAAAGACAAAAAAATTGTGGGTGTTCTATTTGAAACAGAGATATGATAAAACAATAACATCTGAGATCCAAAATATTAAAAAATATAAGATTGCCCCTTTTGTTCTAGGTATGTCTATGACTTGGTTCAGGAAAGAAAGAATATATGGGGGCTAGAGAGATGACTCAGAGGTTAAGAGCACAGACTGCTCTTATAGAGGACCCAGGTTTTGATTCCCAGCATCCACATGGTGGCTAACAACTGCCCATAACTCCAGTTCCAGGGAATCTGAAGCCTTCTTCTGACCGCCGAAGACACTGTACATGGACATTGCACAATACGGATGCAGTTACACACATGCAGGCCATTCACTCACACACATAAAATAAAAAATACGTAAAAATTTAAAAAAGAAAATATATATTGTACATGGATTTTTAGAATACTGTCAAAGGTTATTTTGTGTGTTTTGCTTGTTCAGTGCTAGGATTGAACCTAGGGCTTTACACATGCTATGCAAGCTCTCTACCTCTGAGTGGTATCTCCAGCTTAGGATATTTGTTTTCAAAGTTGAAAAATTGACATTAAACTTTCAGAGTTTAGGCCAGGTATTGTGGTGTATGCCTGTTATCCGAACACTTGAGAGGCTGAGGCAAGAGATGTGGTTGGTTTTCTTCGCCTTTTTTTTTTTTTTTTTGTGGGCTACACAGCAAGTTGCAGAATAGCCTGTGCCATATAGTGAGACCCTCTCTCAAAAAAGAAACATAGGGGGAAAAAGCTTTAGAGTTATAATTTATTATTTTTCTTTCTTTTAAAAATATGGTTATAAACATGAAGCCAGACACAGTTGAGCAGGACCTTTGACTTATCTTCACATAGATGGATAGATGGAACTGGTAAAAGAAAGGAGCCAGGAGCTCCTCCCAAGCCCATGTGACCCCTGAGAAATAGATCCTCAAATGACCTTAAGTGTAAAAATAAATTGATTTATTTGGGCCAACTGTATGGTCTTAAACACCCAAAAGGAAAGTATAGTCAAAGTGTAAAGTCATCTGTATATTTCTTTAAGAATTCAAGGTATTACACTTAGGCTTAAGTCTATATAAAAAGTTATTTAGACAATTATTTCTCATGATGATTTTGTTCCTAACCAGAAAGTGCTGCTCAGATGTAAGACTTCAAGTCTTGGTGCTCACCTGTACCTAAGGGAGATAACCAGCTAGTGTTCTAAAATGATGGATAAGTTGTTTTCTCCCCCTACTTAGAAGCCTTTGAGAGGGAGCTGATACTGATTCTAACCACTCCAACACTATCAAAATACCTGAAAGCGAATCCTGAATCCATCACTCTAGAATCCAGCCTTGGAAGACAAAAGAAAAATGAGGAGGAACCCAATAGAGGGATGCCTTTGGAAGCCTTTGTCAAGAAATTCCAATGGACTCTCATATGAACATTTGAAAATTGCCCTGTTCTGACTTTTTTCTAGTTCCCTATCTGGAACTTGTAATGCTAATTATTCTTACCTTTACTTCTTAAACATCTCCTATACATGATTCAAGGACTTGCTTCTTCCCTTAGAGACAAGAGTAATGGAACTTGAGAGTCTTTTAGATAGACCCACTGACTGGGTACTCCAGTTGCCTCACCCTGCGTCCCTGTTCAGCATGGAAGAAGCCAAAGCGGTTGGCTTCCCTATTCCCTATTGGCAATTTAGGCAACACCTTCAGAGGATGATGTAATAAGAATGGGAGGTAGAAATTGGCTAGGCATTAAGGATAAAAAGATCCCAAAGAAATGTAGACAGGTTCTTGGCTAGTCCAAGTGTCCTTGGGCCTGTTAGCAACCTACTCTGCTTCAAAGGTCAAAAATGTCAGAAGTATTTGGGAGCTTATATCTAATCCTTAAAAGATTTTAGGGTTATGTCTTCAGAGGGGGGAATGTGAGAGTAGCCAAAAGCCCCACAAAAAATCAATCAATCAATCAAAGAAGAAGAAAGAGTACATGACGTTATCAGAAAAAAAGTATGGAGAGATATGAGGAGTTGGAGGCGAGGGAGTGGGCATGGATTTGATCAAAACACCTTATATGCATATATGAAATTCTCAATAAAGTTTTTGCAAAATTTTTTAAAAATTTCATTTCAGTACAGAGCTACCAAATTATTGTACAGTTATAGCATAAAGGTTATTTACAAGCTTTCAGGAGTTATGTTGAAAATGAAATCTGTCCCAGTGCAACATCAGCTGAATTTTTCTCAAGCCATTGGCTGGTAAAGATGTAACTCTGTTAAAAGTCCTCTGGATTTATTGCAGGATTGTCAGCAACCTTCTAAGAGTTGACTTCTAAAGTTAAGAGGCAAAGAGAAAAATAAATACCCAAACCACCATTGTAATGATGTGGGGAAACAGGAAACCGATACAATCTCAGGGGACCACCGTAGATGACTTATTCATTACTAAAGGGATGTTGTGCCTTTACAGTGGGGAGTGCTGGATACACCTTAACAAATTAACAAACTTATTCTCACCAATAGACACACCAGCATGATGTGTCCCTGATGTGAAGGAGTGGGAAGGACATAGCAATAGGCAGTATCTTGCCACAAGTGGTTAATCTCAGTCTAATTGCAAAAAAAATTCAGCTTAGAGAGCAGTATATAAAACACCTGCCTGAACTCACAAAGAATGTGTCAATGCTCAGTTTATTGGGTATAATAATGCTGCTGTGGTTACTCTTAGGAGATATATGTTAAGGTAAGGATAAAGTGTGGTGAACTTAATGACTGGGTGCTTCTTTTTCTTTCATGTTTTCTATAGGTTTATTTCTCAGAATAATCAGCTAGGGGTAAAAGCTTGGCCTTAAGAATAGAATTCTTACCCCAGGTGTTTCCTGGCACAAGTGCTTCTTCAAAGACTCCTGCCTTGCATCTTTCTTTGGCCTAGTCTTTGTGGAATGAGGATAGTGTCTCCAAATAGTGATCTGCAATCTACTTGCAGGGTGTTGTTTTAAACACTCAGGATACAGAGATCATCAAGGCTTATGTCTGTCCTTTAAGAAGCCAATGCTTAGCCAGGCATGGTGGCACATGCCTTTAATACCAGCATTTGGGAGGCAGAGGCAGGCAGACCTCTGTGAGTTCCAGGCCAGCTGGGGCTATGGGGAGACCCTGTCTCAAAAAAAAAAAAAAAAAAAAAAAAAAAAAAAAAGAAGCCAATGGTTGTTTGGGGGTGGAGAGCAAATGTCATACACAAATGAGAAGTACAACGTGCAGTGACCAGTAGTAGATGCATATTTCTAGTATTCTACTTTTTTTTCCTTAAAATATAGTGTACAGGCCACTTGCCATCAGTCATATGGACTAGAGATGGTTTGCCTTAAAACATATTTTTATTTTTTTTATTTTATGAGTGTATTGCCTGCATGTGTGTAAGTGCACCCATGTCATACAGTGCCACAGAGGTCAGAGGAGGGTGTTGGATCCCCAGGAACTGGAGTTACAGATGGTTGTTAGCCACCATGTGGGTACTGGGGATGGCACCCAGGTCCTCTGCAAGACAGCCAATGCTCTTAATTGCTGAGCCATCTCTCCAGCCCCTTAAAATGCATATATGAAGGGCCTTAATCCCATTCATTTCTCCAAATCACATGCTCTGGATCAAACCCGAGAATGTGAATCTGCATATTGACCAAGCAAGTAATGCTGACGCATACTAACAGTGGGTGAGTGCACATATCAGAGACAGTGATCATGCATTTTTTTTAGTAGAAGTTCATCAAGCAGCCAAGGCTAGGCTTCTGTTTCTACAGTTTTCTTGTGATTTTTCATGTTAATGTGAGTAACATATACCATCTCCTTTTGGAAGCTTACATCAGCTGAGTTTTCAAGGGGCTTACTATCTCATCAGATTTAACATCATGCATTACTGATGCCATCTTTCTTTTCCAGGTATGCAGAGACCCACCAAGTATATGCTATTGTATTAGTGTCTGCATACACATCAGACTTGGGAGATGACAATGAGCGTGCAAGTGGTAAGTGTGAAGTCAGATCCCCAGGAAAGTCCTTCCCCCAACACTTGCCAGCCCCTTCAAGTCCTAAAATACTTATTCTCTTTCAGATAGCTCTAAAAAATGTACTAGCAAATGAGACTTATCAGCCACCTTTGGGTGTAAGCTAGGTACTTAGAGAAGTAGTAGATCATTTTCCAACCCAAAGTCTAGAATTGAACCCAGGATCCGGTTTTAGTTGAGCCTTTTACTTCATCTTCACAAGCTGCTGCAGTATCATGCCCTACAGGTCAAAAGCAGTGCTCCTAACACACTCTGATCCTTTGCATTGCTGTGAGGGTCCCGCCAGATATTTTCAAATGTCTGTGATGATTATTCGGGGACACTGAGAGACTATTATTTTTTTCTATAGGGTACTTCAGCCGGCCCTGGCAGTGGGAGAAGATCAAGGCCAACTGCCCTCACATCGTGCAGTTTGGCTCTACTGATGACCCTTTCCTTCCCTGGAAGGAACAACAAGAAGTGGCCGACAGGTTGGAAGCCAAATTGTACAAATTTGCTGACCGTGGTCACTTTCAGAACACAGAGTTTCATGAACTGATTAGTGTGGTAAAGTCTATGCTGAAAGTAGCAGAATAGTCAGGATGACTGCTGCTTTACGTGCCAGGGTGGGGTGAATAATAGCATCTGTTATCAGTTTCTAGACATGAAATGTCCAGGCATGCTCCAAAGTGCCTGAAAAGCAGACTAGTTTCAGCATTCATACTGTCACTAGCAACATTGTCATTTTCTACAGAACCTAAATCTTCCTCAAATGCTATGAACTTTAGCAATATTTTTCCCATTCAGTAAGGGACATAGGGCAGTTTAGTCATCCCATTGACCTAAGACAGTAAGTCAGAAGTGGAATCTGGAGCCAGGTAAGGTGACAGGTGTCTGCAATCCCAGCACTTAGGAAGTGGAAGCAAGAGAATCAGAATTCAAAGACCCCAAACAAACAAAACTAAGTTTTCATGCAAACTGTATGAGTGACACTCCTTCCCCTTTGAAATAAAACTTACTGAGAGAAGAAAATGTGGCTAAAGGTCCAGTGTTGGCATGATATTCAGGACACTGCTGATTCCAGCTGGCTCAAGATAAACTGATGCCCCTGACCTCCCTCCCCTCAGGTCCTTCAGACAGGTTGTGAGAGACCAACATATAAGGACACCAAATCTGAGTCATGGGTGTCTTGGGGTCAGGCAGAGAATAGATGGAAGCATAGCCTACCACCTGGGCCAACCCTGACAGGACAAAGCTGCCAGAACTAGAGCCCTATGGAAAGCTCATGCCCTGTCAGAGTACAGCTGTGTAGAAATACGACATGGCTTTTTAATATGGAGAATATAGATGTATATACAGTCCATATGTATATGAATTATGTCTGATTTATATCTCCATGGATTATAGGAGCTTTGGAAACAATACTGTAGATCAAAAACTGCAAATACAAGACTAAGACCAAGTCATCCATTTGTGAGCATGGCCATAAACATTAGCTTAGCCAAAGTCCAAGAAAAGCCCAAGATCACCAATATGAACTTATATAATGTTAAAGGGTGGAAAACATGGGAGCAATCTGAATTTTGTTACAAAGTTTTAAGTATTGTTAAAAAGAAACTTTACCATTGTACAAGGTTTGCTCTGTAGAGTTCAACCTCTTAACCTCTAAAGATCTCTTTCAAGCATCATTCCAAGATTTTTCTTACATATTCTCTCAAAAAGTAACACTTTTTTAAAAATGAATTTTTATATTAGCATATGTTAGATGTAGAAAATGGCTTCATGACATTTTCATTCATGTTTAAGATGTACTTTGATCATATTTTTAAAATAAAACTTTCCCAACATTCTCTGGCCATTGTGATATCGAACTACTGCCACAGACGATTTCTGGTGCATTCACACTTGTTGCAGAACCTGTGATGGGTGGGCACAGAAATGTCTTTCCACTATTATCCTTAGGGGATGCAGAGCTCTTGTTTTAGCCTGGGAAGGTAAAACTTTAAAAAATTATTTTAAATTTTATGTGTATATGAGTGTTTTACCTACATGTATGTAAGTGTGCCTGCTTCATGTAATGCCTGCAGAAGTCAAAAGAGGGTATCAGATCCCCTGGAACTGGACTTATGGATTGTTGTTAGCCTCCAGGTAGGTTCTGGGAATCAAAAGTTGGGTCCTCTGCAAGAGCAACCAGTGCTTTTAACCGCTGAGCCATCTCTCCAGCCCTAAGACTCTAATTTTTTTTTAAATTTATTATTTTTATGTGTATGCATGTATTACCTGCATGTGGGTAAGTGCACCCGTGTCGTACAATGCCCACAGAGGACAAAAGAGGCTGTCGGATTCCCTGGAACTAGAGTTAAGGACAGCTGTTAGCTGCCATGTGGGTGCTGGGATTTGAACCCCAGTCTTCTGCAAGAACAATTAGTGTTCTTAACCGCTGAGCCATCTCTCCAGCCCTAAGACCCTAAGCTTTTTTTTGTTTTGTTCTTTATCTTTTTGAGACAGGGTCTCTCTATAGCTCCAGCTGTCTGGAACTCACTATGTAGACCAGACTGGCCTCGAACTCACAAAGATCTGCCTGCCTCTGCCTCCAGAGTACTGAGATTAAAGGCATGCACCACCATGCCCAGCCTATGACTCTAAACTTTTAACAGCAGGTTATCTTTGGAGGATGGGATTTGGTCAGTATAGTGGAAGGGACCTCCTTTTATACTTTCTCCATCTGGGGATTATTGAACCTTACACTAAAATATATTAGTCTTATAATTATTAAGAGCCCTAAGTTATTAGAGCCCTAAGACTCTAAACTTTTTTTAAATTTTATTATTTTTTATGTGTATGTGTGTATTGCCTGCATGTATGTGAGTGCACCCCACCTGTGTCATGCAGTGCTGCAGAGGTCAGAAGAGGGCTTCGGATTCCCCTGGAACTGAAGTTAAGGACGGTTCGTAGCCATCATGTGGGTGCTGGGAATTGAACCAGGATCCTCTGTAAGAGCAGTCAGTGCTCTTAACTGCTAAGCCATTTCTCAAGCCCCTAAAATACATTTTTAAAGAACTCACTTTGGGACTTGAGAAAATGGCTCGGCAGTTAAGAGTACTGGCTGCTCTTCCAGAGGACCTGGGTTCAGTCCCAGCACCCACATGGTGCCTAACAACCATCCTTAAATCCAGTTCCAGGGGATCCAACATCCCTTTTCTGGTCTCCATAGGCACTGCTTGACACAGTGCACTTACACACATGCAGGCAAAACACTCATACACATAAAATATAAATAAATAAATAAATAAATATCTAAACAACTCACTTTACAAGTTGGTAAATATATATATTTAATAATTTATTGAGAATTTCATACAGCGATATAAGTATATAAGGTGTTTTGATCAAATCTGTGTCCACTCCCTCAACTCCTCCCTTATCTCCCCATCACCCCATCACTTTTTTCTGATAACTTCATGTACTCCTTTTTTTTTTTTTTAAATGGGGCTTTTTGCTACTCTAACATTCCCCCCCTCTGAAGAGGTAGCCCTAAAATCTTTTAAGGATTAGATAAAAGCTCCCAAATACTTTAGACACTTTTGGCCTTTGGAACAGCATATGTTGCTAAGAGGCCCAAGGACATTTTGACTTTTAGCCAGGAAAATGGCTACTTTTCTTTGGGGTCTTTTTACATGAACTGCCTAGCCAATTCCTACCTCCTATTCTTATCACACCATCCTCTGAAGAGGTTACCCAGCTTGTGGATAGGGAATCAGAATGCAGACAACTCTGGCTTCTGTGCTGAACAGGGACACAGGGTGAGGCAATTGGGGTTACCCCTTCAGTGGGTCTGTCTAAAAGACTCCCAAAATGCATAACTCTTATCTGTAGGGGGAAAAGAAAGTCCTTCACTGGTAAATAGGTGAAGAAGTAAAGGCAAGTAATTAGCATTACAAGTTCCAGACAGGGAACTAGAAAAAAGTCAGAACAGGACAAATTTCAAATGTTCATATGAGAGTCCATTGGAATTTCTTGACGGGAGCTTCCAAAAGCATCCCTCTATTGGGTTCCTCCTCATTTTTCTTTTGTCTGCCAAGGCTGGACTTGAGAGTGATGGATTCAGGATTTTCTTTCAGGCATTTTGGTAGCTGTTGGAGTGGTTAGAATCAGTGTTAGTTCCCTCTCAAAGGCTTCTAGATAGGAAGGAAATTTGGACATCATTTTAGAATAATAGTGGGTTGTCTCCCTTAGCTACAGGTGGGCACTACAGTATTGCAGACCAAGATTTGAAGTCTTACATCTAAGCAGCAGTTTCTGATTCAGAACAAATCATCAATGAGAGATAACTGTCTAAATAACTTTTTAAAATTTTATTTTATGTGTATGTGTGTTTTGTCTGCATGTAGGTAAGTGCACCTGTGTCGTGCAATGCCTGGGGTAGTCAGAAGAGGCTGTCAGATCCTCTGGGACTGGAGTTAGGGACAGTTGTTTGCTGCCATGTGGGTGCTGGGATTCTAACCCGGGTCTCCTGCAAGAACAACCAGTGTTCTTAACCACTGAGCCATCTCTCCAGCCCCCTAAATAACTTTTTATAGGGACTTAAGCCTAATGTCTGAGAGGTGTAATCTCTTGAATTCTTAAATAAATATACTGATCACTTTGCCCTTTGGTTATACTTTCCTTTTGGGTGTTTAAGATCATATAGTTGGCCCAAATAAATCAATTTATATTTACACTTAAGGTCGTTTGAGGAACTGTTCCTCAGGAGTCACATGGGTTTGGGAGGAGCCCCTGAATCCTTTCTTTTACCAGTTCTATCATCTATGTGAAGATAAGTTAAAGGTCCTGCTCAACCATGGCTGGCTTCACTTGGAAGCATGGAGGAAATGTTTCCTCTGAGTTGACCCTCCTCTTTGTAGACTGGACACTGGTTCAAGTTCATCTCATGGGATCTCCATGGCCTCCCTGAACAAGAGGACAGGTGACTCACCAGTTACAGGACATTTTGAGAGATGTTCCATAGTCCCCTGGAACTTAGTCGACCTTGGAGGGCAAGGGGCAAAAACTCTCCTTTAAATCCCTCTGACCAGATTAGTATAAGCCTCAAAGTACGGCTATTAAACATCCAAGGTTAGTTCCACCAGTCTGGTATTTTTAATTACCATGTGCTATGTAGATAAAGCTTGGGTAAAAAACCAAATGTTCTCAGATAAACCTTGACTAGATATTTTGTTCTTTAAACTAGTTGACTAAACTATGACCTTAGAAATTTTAACATTATGTGTATATTATTTTTGTCTCATTATTTATATATAACAAACCTACACAGACCGTCCTCACTTGCTTAAGCTTTCTCATTTTTTTCTATTTTGAAAAATATCTCCATTCCCATATCCTTTTAACATCTTTCACATTCTTCTTTTCTTTTCTTTAACATTAATAAATTTTTCATCTGTTATGAGACTTCTTTTCCTGGGGATACTAAGCAATGCTTACTCTTTTTTAAGGTTCTAGTATCAAGCCAATGTTTGATTAAAGTTTTACTGGGAAACCAATGAATTTTCTGAGCTTATTTACAGAGATAACTGAGGGGTTGTTAAAGTGTATGAATGACCTGAAGGTATGCATACTTGAAAGCCTTTACCTAGCTTGGGTCAAGCTTTCTCTTCCTAGCCTTCCCCAGACTGTATACTTTAGCCCTCCCCAAATCCAGGAGACCATGTGTGATTAGGGCCAAATGACATATAATTGTCTGGGAAGAGTGGCTGGATACTCTGGTGAGGGTCTAAAATACAAATTATGGGACTAGGTGTGGTGGCACATGCCTTTAATCCTAGCATATAGGAGACAGAGGTAGGCAGATCTCTGAATTCCAAGCCAGCTAGGGCTACATAGTCTCAAAAATAAAAAAAATAAAAAAACTTGTCTCAAAAATAAAGGCTGGGCACGGTGCCACAAGCCTTTAATCCCAGCACTTAGGAGGCAGAGGCAGGCAGATCTCTGTGAGTTCAAGGCTATCCTGGTCTACTTAGGGTCAGCTGGGGCTACAGGAAGACTGTCTCAAAAATACCAAAAAATAAAATAAAATTGGGGCAGGAGAGATAATTCAATGGCAAGAGCACCTCACATCATGTGGCTCAGTTGCCTGTAACTCCAGCTCCAGGGGATTTGTCAGTCATATACAAACACATACACATAATTAAAAATAAAATCTTTAAAAAACAATGGATCCTTCTAGTATAAAGAGGTTGTTTAGCAGTTATTGGAACAAACCTCTAATCCAAGATTGATTCTATTTGAATATTTTGGAATTAGTAATTATTTACTCCTTGTTTTCTGAATTCCTTTCTAAAAATTTATAGACTTATAAGTAGCATTATTTCACAATGTTTTCTGCCACAGGCCAAAAAGATATATTCACTTGAAAAATATCTACTCCTGGTATTTTCATTCCTGTTTGAACAACAGACTTAAATGGTTTTTGAGCTGTGCCACCCAGTATGTGCAATAGCCACAGGTAGGTAAAAAAGAACAAGTTTTTAGTCACTTGCAGTTTCAAGTGCTGACCAGCCACAGGTGGCTCATTTATGAGACACCGAATATAGACTATTTCCATTGTTATAGAAAATGCTATTTAGGGCTGGAGAGATGGTTCAGCGGTTAAGAATACTGTTCTTGCAGAAGACCCGGGTTTGAATCCCAGCACCCACATGGCAGCTAACAACTGTTGGTAACTCCAGTTCCAGGGGATCCAACAGCCTCTTCTGTCCTTCTCAGGCATTGCGTGGCAGAGGTGCATTTACATACATACAGGCAATACACTCATACACATATTTTTTAAAAAACACTATTGGCCAGATATTGTGGTGCATGCCTATAATCCCATGCATAGGAAAGTAGAAGCAAGACTGTGAGTTCAAGGCTAGCCTAGATTATACAGTGAGAGATCCTATCTTTTCTTTTTTGGTCTTCTTGAGACAGGGTCTCCCTGTAGCCCCAGCGGTCCTGGAACTCACTATATAGGCCAGGCTGGCCTTGAACTCACAGAAATCTGCCCGCTTCTGCCTCCCGAGTGCTGGGATTAAAGGTGTGTGCCACCACATCTGGCCAACTTTTTTTTTTTTTAAATCTGCTGTGCTCTAAGGCACAGATTTTATATTCTTACCCCATCTGACATATAATGAATTTGAAATTATTTTTTTCACTGTGGTACTGCGGGTAAGGTCAGGGGGTTCACCATGCCAGACAAGTGTTCCACCATCGAGCTACAGCCTTATCCATGAACTTAGGTTGATGGGCCCAAGTCCCCCCAAATGATGGACCCAAGTCCCTCCCAAATGATGGATTTAAACTAAAATCCCCCAGGCCTGAGAAAAACTACACAAGGAAGTTAATTCTAAAGAACAAGCTGAGCTGACCTTTTTCATGCTCCTTGCCCAAGCTGGAAATCATCCCAGAAATTCCCCCTACGTCTGCTTGGCACATAGCCGCCGCTTGTCTTTAAAAGAAACCTGTGAACTGGGCTCTGTCCTCCGAGTGAGGTAGGAGTCCGTTTTGCAAAACGCCAATAAATCCTTATGCTTGCTGCATTTCCTGATTTGAGGACTGAGTTATTGGGGTGCGACCTCCCGTGAACGTTGGGAACCCCAGTCTGGGGGTCCAACAAGGTGTCTGACTAATTGCTTAATTGGTCACCATAAAAACCATTATCTACAAACTGTATTAATTGCCAGAGTAAATTGGATGTTTCATGTGAGAATCTACATAAATATTAAAACTCATAGAATCACTCATGTCTAAATTCTTCTCTATGGATCACTATTAAACAAAAGGCCAATAAACTTTGGAGTATGTGTTCTCACAAGACTGACACTGAATGGAAAAGAACTAAGTCTCAGGACTTCATCTGCAATTTGATCTTTCAGTGTCATGATTTCAGAGGCCTACAACCTGTTTGACCATAGCTTATCTTTGTGGATGACTCATTTTATTATACAGTACAGCTGCTGTATTTTTAAATCATCTACTCTTCTCAGTTAATATTCAGAACAAAAAGCATGCTATGAAAAAACTTAAGCTATTCTAGTAAGAATATTTCAGCCACTGATTTCAAATTAAAAAATTCAGTTATCAATAAATAATACAAAGTCAGGCATGGTGAGTTAATGCTTATAATCTCAGCATTTGGGAAACTGAAGCAGGATTGCCATGAGTTCAAGGCCACCCTAGGCCACAAAGTGAATTCCAGGCCAGAGTGAGACTATCTCATAGCCAAGAGACATAATACAAAGAATATCTGGAAAATAAATTGGTTACTTCTCCTTTATTGTAACTCTCCTTCGAATTCAGTTTTCTTGTTAAGTAAGATGAGTGCTTATTCTCTAGGCCAGGCAGATCTCAGAAAGAATGGACATTGTTCTTATAAAGTCAGCCCTCACTGGAAGAAAGCCTCCTGTATCCACACATAATCTAATACTTAAAATACAAAGAGCTGGTACCATTAAATGCTAATTTTATAGAGCTGGCCAGATTTTATCTAATAAAAAATAGTTAATGAGTTTGATTTTACCAATCCCCTTTGTCTCGAAGTAACTCTTTGGATGTTGTTCACTTAAGAGTATCTCCAAACTGGTGTTAGAACTCAGCCCTCAAGGAGTCAAGTGTGAATTCCTCAGTTGTACCATGTTTTTGGCTTAATACACTTTTAAAAATTTATGTGTATGGGTGTATTGCCTGCGTGTTTAAGTGTACCCGTGTCATGCAATGCCTGTGGAGACCAGAAGAGGGCGTTGGATCACCTGGAACTGGAATTAAAGTTGTTAGCTGCTACTTGGGTGCTGGGAATCCTCTGCAAAAGCAGACAGTGCTCTTAACTACTGAGCCACCTCTCCAGCCCCAGGCTTAATAAATTTTAAGTGGCAATACAAAGGGAAAAATACAACTACAGAGATCCTAAAAAGCTGTCTTCTGCACAACAGCTGGCAGATAGGATGTCTGATGAAGATCTATTTTCTCAGTGTTCTCACATGAGAGAAGGGGCAACATAAGCCTTTGAGTCTCTTCTATGTGGGCACTAATTCTACCCATGAAGAGTCTACACACTCATGATCTGTCATCTTCCAAAGGATCTATTTCCACATACCATTACACAGGGTCTGGATTACAAAACCTGAATTTGTAATGATGGTAGGGAGGGTCATAAAAACTGTAGGCATCAAATAAGAATCTTCAAGCCAGGTGTGGTGGTACATGCCTTTAATCCCAGAACTCAGAGAGCAGATCTCTTTGTGAGTTTGAGGCCAGCCTGGGCTGCACAATGAGACCGTTTCAAAAAAAGATCTTGGAAAAAACTCTGACAATACAATTAAGCCACACAGTGAAACTTAAAACTTTAATATGAAGGAACAGTGAGGGCTGGAGAGATAGCACAGAGGTTAAGAACACTGACTGTTCTTACAGAAGACCCAGGTTCGAATCCCAGCATCCACATGGCAGCTAACAACTGTCCTTAACTCCAGTTCCAGGGGATCTGACAGCCTCTTCTGTCCTCCACAGGCATTGCACAACATGGGTGCACTTATTTACATGAGGCAATACACGCATTCACAAAAATAAAAATAATAAATATTTCTAAAAATAATGAAGGAACAGTGAAATTATCCCCTTTAGGATGAAAATTAGCAAAAACATTAGTGATCTGGACAACAGCATTTTGGATTGAGCTTTAAGTAAGTCAGCATAATCCTCTGAAAGAATAAAATGAAGAGAAATTAACAGTGCACAAAAGGGATGTTTACACACATTCCCAAACACCTGCTGTTCCCATCTTTACCATGTGTCATTTCTTCTCAATGAAACCACAGAAATAGGCAACAGAAATACTGGTAATAAACCTGATATAAATGTTCAATGGAAGAGCTTAATAACTTTAATCAAATGAGCATCTTTGTGTTCTGGCCGTTATCACAGAACTTGGTCAATGCAAGTTTTTTTGTTTTTTGGGTTTTTTTGGTCTTTTTGAAACAAGGTCTCCCTGTAGCCCTGGCTGGCCTGGAACTACATAGACCAGACTGGCCTTGGACTCAAGAGATCGGCCTGCCTCTGCCTTCCAAGTGTTAGGACTACAGGTGTGCACCACCATGTCCAGCAACTTTTCTTTTAAACTTTATTATTTTTATTTTATGTGTGATGCCTGCATGTAGGTGAGTGCACCCATGTCATGCAATGCCCATGGAGGTAAGAAGAGGGTGCTGGATCCCCTAGAACTGGAGTGACAAATGGTTGTTAGCAGCCATGTGGGTGCTAGGAATCGAACCTGGGTCATCTGTAAGAGCATTCAGTGCTCTTAACCGCTCTGTTGGCTTCTTTTTATTTGAAGTCTTAAAAACTTAAACAGATGTGGTCTTCTAGGACTTCAAAGTACTTTTTCAAAATAGCTTAGTGATTTTTATTTTATTTCTGTTTTGCCTGCATGTAACTGGACCCATGTAATGTAATGCCCAAGGAGGCCAGAAGAGGGCACTGGGTCCCCTGGAACTGGAGTTATAGAAAGTTGTTAGCTGCCATGCAGATGCTGGGAACCCCAGGTCCTCTGCAAGAACAGCCAGTGCTCTTAACTGCTGTGCCACCTCTCCAGCCCTGGCTTCAAAGTATTCTGTTTATTGAAGAATAGATTTTACTAATAAACTTAATCTGCTTTATATTCTTTTTTTTCTTTGGACTTTTTGAAACAGGGTCTCCCTGTAACCCCAGCTGGCCTGGAATTCACTATGTAGACCAGGCTGGTCTTGAATTCACAGAGATCCACTTGTCTCTGCCTCCCAAGTACTGGGATTAAAAGGCATGTACCACCATGGTCGGATCCTTTATATTCTTTAACTGTGAAGTTAATCTTCATAAATAAATATGTCTTTGTAGCAGGAGTCAGTATCCATTATTATGAAGTATGTTTTCAAAGAAATTTGATGTTCCATCATAAATTATTTGCTCTCAAAGTAATTCCATTTGCCAAATGTCAGTGAAGTTCACAGCTCTTAAAATTCAAGCCACTCTGTCATGTAAATACAAATGGACGGTGAAATCTCACCACCTTCATGGCAGTCATCAAAAACCTTAAGAAAAAAACAAACAAAACCAGCAGTTTATATTCAAACTGAAATTCTGAAATATCCAAACCCATTTATTTAAAGCAGTCTTAAAAAAAAAAAAAAAAAAAAGACACACACACACTGTGGCACTGGTCAGTTTCTGGTATATAATTTTATTAATGGACAGAATACCACCTAATAGCAATATTACTTACAGTACAGAAGACATCTATTGAAGAGAATGAATTGGTTGCTGACTTAAACCAAGAACTAGGGCCATTTTTACTACAATGAACTCAGGACTGGCAATAGCCATATGGCTGTTCCATTTTCATAAAATTAGAAACAATGCAGTAATAGCTTATTATTGTTTTTTTTTAAAGAAGATATTATCTTTTACAGAAATTTATGATTGATGTATTTTATCTAGTTAATAGACATGTTTACATGCAGTAGATAATTGTTCATAGTGGACTGAAAACTAATGCATGGTCTCAGTGATAAGCATATTTTGAAGTTCTTAATATAGAAATATACGAGTGTAGCTTGGTACGGTATTTTTTTATATTGATCTGCTGATACCAGTTATAGGTTTAAAGACTATATTTTCACAAAGTAGAAGCCAATGTTTTTGAGTTATTCAAGGAGTGTATATACAGTATTATGTGTTTAAGAATTTGAAGCTAGTTCTTAAAAATCCTAAAATAATACTTTAAGGAAATCCCTACAGCAAAAGAAAGTTCCAAATGCATGGAAAGAATTTGAAATAGTGAGTGTTTTCTTCCATTTCTCTTTCCTGTCACTAATGGCAGAAGGAGAAAGTCACTTTCCTTCTTGTGAGCTATAAATTACTAGAATTGAGGAGAGTTTCTAATTCATTATTTTATTCTGGCTTCACTTTTAAAAAAAGAGTTGGTACAACTCAGCCGTAAGTCTTAGACAGGCTTGTGATAAAATTGTGGAATAGTTGCAAAGTAAATGTGGAGGACTTAGTATCTGCATTGTTATTCCTCAGAAATACTGCACTGAGTATATGTCTTCATTACTGGACTTCATTCTAATACTTGTCTACCCTTCATGGTGCCCTCTCTTTTAAAGTGTTTATATGTTGAAAAACTGCTATGGCCTTTTATGACCTGTACATAATATAGAAAATAAAGACTGCACTGAGTATATGTCTTCATTACTGGACTTCATTCTAATACTTGTCTACCCTTCATGGTGCCCTCTCTTTTAAAGTGTTTATATGTTGAAAAACTGCTATGGCCTTTTATGACCTGTACATAATATAGAAAATAATAAAATACTTGATTTAAACACACACACACACACACACACACACACACACACACATACATACACACACAATCCTCTGAAAGGGAACAGAATTATATTTAACATACAGTGCCTGCTTTGTGATCATACAGTTATGAGGCCTTTTATACAGCCTAATGGTAATCATGTTCCCCTGTCCACTGGGTAAGAGGATTATCAGCAGATAGTATGGAGTGCAAGAAGGGAGTCCTATACTTATAAACAACCTTGATCAAGTGGGTGCTTCATGGTTACTATCTTCCTTTTTACAATGGGTGCTAAGTAGAATTCCCAGTATGTTGGCCTTTTGTCAATGTTGGAACTGGGCCTCAGAAAGCTTAGGTACAGTCAAGGGCTAGCATAAGGAAATATGGCACAAAGTAGCAGCCCAAGAACATAAATGTCACAAGGGCTGGGGGTACCTCTTGCTGTCTGTAGTGGCCTTAGAACATCCAGCAGAGTGTTCATAAGCCACCTGGGAATGAATGAGTGAAAGTCCTAGGGCATGTTGGGGGGGAAAAAAAAACATCATCTCTCAGTTTGAATCCTGTTATTTAATTCTAAGCTATATGTTCTCCCCAAGTCTACATTTCCTCCTCCTTCTTGGGGGAGTACTGGGGAATCAAATCTGGGGGTGGTGGGAGGTCCCGTGTCTACTAAGTATGTGCTGTGCCACTGAATTACACCCCCAGCCCCAAGTTCCCTCATTCTTTAGGGAAAATAACACTACTAGCTTCAAGGACATAAGAGATCACAAAGGAAAATCACTAAGAATGACCAGCTCATGGTAGCTTCTCAACAAATCTCATTTCCTCCCTACACAGGTAAACTGACTATTCTTCACCAAAAATTATGCATTTCAGGACTAACAACAGTCCCAAGAATGAATGTAAGACCTGTCCATTAAAGCCCTGTTCATCACCTTCATGGAGGCTTGAACAGCTACTTGTGAACCCTACAGGTGTGTGTGCTGTTTCTCCATATGACATTTGCACATGGTGCTGGTAAAAGGGTGAAAGTACAGCAGCTCTCACTCACCGGGCAGAGTCCACAAGGTGCTCGGACCAGGCCTGTAGGTGGGAGGATTGGGCTGACTGCCCTGTACAGTCTCATGTGTCCATCCACACTGCCAACTGTGCCTTCCTTTGCAGCAATGATAGTCATCTCCACTTTCCCATCATAAATAAGTGTATTCAAGATGGTTTCAATGTCCTCCATGGACAACTCTACCTAAAAAAGGGCACATTATAAGTAGGTATATAGGACAGGAAGCATCTTTTGACAGGGTATTACAAAACAGCAGAGTACCAACTGCTCAGTGAAGGGAGAAGCTACATGCTGGAGAAAAGCAATGGAAGGCAAAAAGGATGTGCACACCACTGAAATGCTAGGGAAGGACAGAAGCCTAATGTGATGATTCTGACATTTCCTAATGGTTATCAGCATTCTAAGAAAAAACTAGAAGTCTTTGTTTTGTTTCTGTTTTGATTTTTTGATCTCACTATCCCTGGGGGCTTGAAACTTACTATGTAGACCAGGCTGGCCTGGAACTCACACATCTGCCTGCTTCTGCCTCCCCAGTGCTGGGATTAAAGGTGTGTGCCATCACACCCAGTCTCCACCACACCCTTTGTTTTTATTTTATGTGTATGAGTGTTTTGCCTACATGTATATAAGTGTGCCTCCTGTATGCCTGGTACGTACCAAGGTCAGAAAAGGACATTGGACCCCCTGGAACTGGAATTGAAGATGGGTGTTAGCCACCTTGTCAGTGCTGGCAAAAAAAATGGGGTCTTCTGTAAGAGCAGTAAGTGCTCTTAGTCACTGAACCATCTCTCTAGTCCCGTAGAAGTCTTACAAACTAACATTTCTTTGGTGAGAATTTGATGGGGTAATGGGGGAAAGGTACAACACAACAAAATGACAAAAAGGGCTAGGAACACAGATCAGTGGTAGAGCATTATCAGCATGAACCCTAGATTCAATCCCTAGGACCACAAAAACAATAGAACCAACTCCAAACCTAAAAATAAAAACCTACATAGAAGAAATCCCCCTCCCCATGAATTTAACAGAGAGTCTTAAAATGTCTGAGCACACAGCTACTTCAGTAATTCTAGTTCCTAGGACTTTATAAGTGAGAGATCTGGGGCCCAAGAAATGAAAATGGCATGTCCAAATGCTACCTTAGCTTCTTTCTGACCATGAAAAGCATCAATGTCTTTATGTAAAGGTTTCAGAGGAGAAGTAATAATAGCACTTACACCTCATTACATAAGAAAATGTCAATAAATGACTCAGGCTGTGACATGTCCCACTGTCCCAGAGACAGCGGAGAAGTCCTTAGAGTAGCTTTGACTCTGGTGGTGAACTGCATTCTGCCACCAAGTGCCCCAACCTCAAGAACAGCTCAGCCAGTCAGACGGCAGTGACTGCCTTTGCCCACAGGTTAGGACAGCACTTCCAAAAAGTAGGTTCAGTAGAATGTGCACCTGAGAAGGGGACTGGGTCAAATACATTTAGAACATACTGTAAGCTACAGCCATATATATGCTGACAAATATATCTTACGTGACAAAGTAAAAAAGTTCTCACCTTACTGATTCCCAGTTCACAGATATATTTCCACACTTCATGTGATGAAGCAAAGGAACTGTTTCTCTGTATCATTGGATTCTGTTTACTTTCTCGGGCTGTTTCTGCCTGTAAGGATTGAAATAAGAGATTCAAGAAAGAGTACTAATTAGCGCTTTCTCAATGCAATGTACACTGTGTCATATCATAGCAGAACATATTTTAATAAAAATTACCAACATCAGTATATTTAGCCTTATAAAATATGATATACAAGGTTAAATATTTTTCATAAAGTAGCTTTTTAAAAAGGGCTTGTGATGGTATTTCTCACCTTGGTTTGTAAGAATTTGAAACACTGTTGGTTAAGCACCTCAACAAATTCAGATTCAAAATCCTGGTCACTGTACCACGCTCCTCCAGTCACAGATCGATCTGGTTGCAGGTTATAAAGCATATATACCTTCTTTTTGGAAGCCTAAGAAAGAATATACACAGTTTATGCATTTATAACCATTTTCCAAAACCAAGCTTTAAAAAAAAATAAGTTTATATTTTAGGACACTTTTAGATGTACAGAATTACAGATGTAAAGATAGTAGAGAGTTACTGAACTTGTGACCATTGTCTAAAGTGAAAGCCATCTTTTGGGGAGGAGAACTGTGCCATTAACCTGTGTCAGAAGTGTACTGCAGCCAGCAACTCCTTCATGTTCACAATGTTCCCTTCCTTATGGGAAGGGAAAGGTCATCAGTTCAGGTAGAGTGCAGTGCTCAAGTCCCTTTCCTATGCCTTTAGTTTTATAGACACCATTTATTTCTAAAGGTACTTAGGTCAGCACCTATTCCTCTACACATACACACACCTACCACCACCCCATGGTGTGTTACATTCTGTAACACATTGTTTCTTTTGTTACATTCTGCATCCCACCATGGCATTCCCCTAATTCCTGAGTGACTAAAAATTTGTGCACATGGCTAGACATGGTGGCATACACCTGCAAATCCCAATATTCAGATGGCTAAGGCAGAAAGATCCTGAGTTCAAGACCAGCCTAAGCAACATCAGCAAACTTCTCTCTCAGAACGAAAGAAAGCATTAAGATTATTTTTTTGTGGAGCTGGAGAGATGGTTCAGTGGTTAAGAGCACTGGCTGCTTTTACAGAGGACCTGAGTTTGGTTCCCAGCACCTACATGGTTGCTAACATTGGTCAGTAATTCCAGTTCCATGGGATCCAATGGCCTCTTCTAGCCATAGTAACATACATGCAGGTTGAATACTCGTACTCATTAAATAAAAAGAAATTAATTTTAAAAAGATCATTCTTTTTAAAAAATTATCTGTGGCTGTTTAAGTGTCTATAGGATTGAACATATGCTTAATGCTTTTGTTATATAGAGTACTTTTGCTGTCCTAAAACATCTCCCATGCTTCACCTATTCAACTTCCCAACACCCCACTCCCAGGACCCAGCACCCATTATCTTTCACTGTCTTATAGTTTTGCCTTTTCCACTTTGCCATCTAGTCAGAATCATACACTGCAGATTTCTCAGCATGGCTTCTTTCACCAAGCAACAGGCATTTAAGATCACTCACTGTCCTCTCACATTAGCTCATGATTTTTTATCACTGATTATTCCAACTAAAGAAGAAAAGGGAAATACACAAATGTAGTATAAGAGACACTCTGTATACAACTTTAATCCTAGCACTTGGGAGGCAGAGGCAGGCAGATCTCTGTAAGTTGATGGCCAACCTAGTTTACATAGTGAGTTCCAGGCCAGCTGGGGTTACAGGGAGACCATGACCCCAAAAAACAAAAAAGAGAGATACTCAGCTAGACAGGTGTGGTGGGGTACATGTTTAATCCTACCACTCAGGAGGCAGAAGCATGTGGATCTCTGAAACTGAAACCAGTGGTCTACATAATAAGCTCCAGGCCAGCTGCTACAGGAAGACCCTTGTCTCAAAAAAAAAAAAAAGAAGACACTCTGCTAAAGCAGGGATCCTTCTCTGACTTGTTCATTAATGTATTCCAAGAACCCAAAGCAGTCAACAGATATTAATGGCACATCCTAGTCAATAGATACTTGTTGAATGAGTAAGATAGCATGTTAGGATGAAGTAAATTATTTCACGCAATACGAAAAGAACTTGTGGCTCCAAAATTTCTTCACTGTAGAACATAGTTTAAAGCTTTGGAATGGGCAAGACATCAAGTGTTGGTTCTTCCCATGTCTCTGCTCCTCTGGCCTCTCTCCCCTGCCTTGGTCCTTCACCCCTGAAAATGTATGCCTGCTCCAAGTTTATTTGTACCAGCTCCTTGGAACTCATGTCTAAAGCAACAGCCCTTCCCCTACTCAATTCTGGGCTTTGCCCTCTCAGAGGCTATGGGCTCTTTTGCTAATGGTGTTCTTTCTTATCCTCTGCAGTGTGAAGCAGCTGTCTCCACCTCCACCTCCCACAGTTCTTTCTCCCTTGTGTCATCTGCCCTATATGTTCCTTTTCCTATGCCTCCCCAGGAAGTCTAGGGAAAGTGGATGGCTCAGGGTTTGACAGAGAGAAGATAAATAAATACTGTATTAATAACGATTCTTTTTAAAAGACATCAAGAGTTAAGCAGAGAGCAACATCTGTAAGTCAGTCCAATATGAACTAAATTTTTAAAGTTGTTTTTAACAATTGTCTTAAATCACAACATGGATTAGAGAATAAAAGCTTGAAAATATACTTAGAACAGTTTATCTAAGTGAATACAAAGGAAGAAAAAGAAAAACTACTCACTGCTACAGACTTCACAGCTTTGATAAGCTTTTTGCTTTCCAAATTCTTGAGAATTTTGTTGATTTCTGTTAAAGGCAAGTTACTTTTGTATCTAATATCTCTGCTCCATATTCCTACAAAAAAGTAAAGTAAGTTGCACTGTGAGATTTATGGATTTTTGTTTCTATTCCTAAACCATGAAATAAAAGTGACAGCAAATACTTTAACAAGAAATTTTATATTAATTGTTTTCAGAAATTTAAGAGCCTAAATGTTATAAAAAAAAAAACAACTTTGGATAAAGAAGCAAAATTATACAAGACAATAAATTACATACGCTTTACATCTAACTGTAAATTCTTGGAATCTTAGTGGGACATCTTTTTAGAATGTAAAACGAAAAAGGAACTTAAATTTGGGTCAGGTCCTTTGCCATCCTCAAATGGGAGTAAAAACCAACAACAAAAAAATACAATACATCAGGAGGCAGAGGCAGGCAGATCTCTATGAGATCAAGGCCAGCTTGGTCTACATAGTGAGTTCTAAGCCAGCTAAGGCTACACAAAAAACATGTCTCAAAAAGAACAACAACAAAAAAAACCCACAAAAGTTTGACTGAGTGTTTGAATTCATATACACCTATTATTTATACACTACATTTGTGAGGTAGAAAAAGTAAATCTGTGCTTCTTACATATAAACACCCATTTTGGGAAGTCGTGATTTTTCTTCCAAAGAAGGAAATATGTATAAAACATGTTTAGCTTAACTGCATGTTGTAGCACATGCCTGTAATCCCCAGCACTCAGGAGGAGGAAGAGATAAGAAGATAATGAATGACAGAGGATAGCCTACACAGGAAGAGCCTGTCTCAAAATATAAAACACAAAATAAAAGGAATAGCTGTCGCACAGTATTTTTACAATGGTAATAACTATTAATAGTAGATATGAAATTAAGTACATACTTTCAGATTGATCACATCAAACTTCTTCAAGCTAGTTTCAATGACTCTTACAGATCCTAAATTTCGATTTATTTCTTTTTTTCCACTAGGGTCTCACTAAGTAACCCAGGCTGGCCTCAAACTCCTGCCTGAGCCTCCTGACTGTTGGAATTTTAGGTCTGTACCACCATGCCCAGTTTCAGGAGGGATAGAAAGGAGTAAAGCTGTTATAGGACATCTCTCATGCCATACTATGTATCCTTCTGGTCCTTAGAAAAATCAGAGATGATATTATCCACAATTTACAGATAAGATGAAGAAACTAAGGCTCATAAAATTTAAGGAACTAGGGCTGGGCGTGGTGGCACATACCTTCAATCCCAACACTCAGGAGGCAGAGGCAGGTGGATCTCTGTGAGTTCAAGGCCAGCCTGGTCTACATAGTGATTTCCAGGACAGCTGGGGCTACAGGGAGACCCTGTCTCAAAAAGACCAAAAAATTTTAAGGAACTTACTGAAGTCACTGCTATGGTTTTAATGTTTCCCTCAAATTTTGTGTTGGAACTTCAATCCTCAAAGTCATATGATAACTATAATTGAGAGGTGTGATCTCTGTAAAGTGACTGGGTCCATTCACACCATGGATTGAGATGAGTTATAGAGTGAACAGCTTTGTTATAAATATGAATAACTGCTGGATATATAGCCTAATGGCAAAGCACTTGCCCAGCAATACAAGGCCCTGGGTTTGCTCCCTAGTAATAGTATTGTAAAACAAGCAAGCAAGCAAGCAAACAAACAAACAAAAAAAAACTTCTAAAAGAGAACTCACTATATAAAGAATCCCCACAAGCAAGATGTAAATCTAGTTAGATACAGGCCTTGGACTTCCAGTTTCCTCTAGAACTATAAGAAATAATTTGATTTTCTTTATATTAATTACCCTGTCTGTGGTACTTAGTACATCAACAGAAGATGAACTAAGACAACATGAGATAGTGAGAAGACAAACAAAAACAAACCCTGATGTTCTGACTAAATACTTCATTTGTGTGATTCAGAATTCCATCCCTGGCCACCTGACGTTTTGACTAGATACTTCATTTGTGTGGTTTAGAATTCCATCCCAGACCACAAACGCACTGTTCCATCTAGTCCCAGGGAACAACGGCATCGCTCTTGGGTGTCCTTCAGGCACATGCATGTTATATGTGCATATTTTCCTTCTTTCATCCCCATTTCACACAAAAGACAATAGTACACCCTACACATGATGTACTACCCGGGGAAGCTAGAACCTTAACCTCATTAGATATGGGTTAGACCCAAAGAAAACACTTTATTCTCTACATGCTTACCTTTATTTCCTGCATCCTCTATGATTTGATAGACTAATTTCTCCTGGTTATCTGATCCCTTCATTTTACTGCAGGGGAATAAAGCAGAATTAAACAAGGAAAAGGTATAGGCTATGCAATCATCCACATGACCACTTAAGTTAATTAGCAGACAGTTACCACACTGACTAATTTACCAGAAGAACAGCTTACTTTAAAAAGAATGAGACAGAGCTGTATGTACCAACATTAAAAGATGTCCAAGACATAGTAAGTGAAAAAAACTAGTTACAAAACAGTATGGATAGCATGATCCCAGTTTTGTTAAAAAAAAAAAAGAAAACAGAGATCATATATATATAAAATCATCTATGAATATTTAAATCAATTTAGAAGAAAAAATATACAGTAAATTGTTAAAAGCAGTTACTCTGGGAAATGGAACATTCGACAGAAAGCTGGGATGATACACAGGACAGATTCACACCATATTTTTTGGTTGTTTTCTTATTTTTTTGAGGAAGGGTCTTGCGATGTAGCCCAGACCCACTTCCATCTCATGATCCTCCTGCCTCATCCTCCTGAGTGTCAGAGCTGTATGTAGCCCAGACCTGCTTCCATCTCATGATTCTCCTGCCTCATCCTCCTAAGTGTCAGCGCTATAGGTATACGCCAGCCATCACACTTAGCTACACTGTATTATCTTTTTTGTTTTCTTCTTCTTTTGAGTTTTTTTGAGACAGGTCTCACATGTGGTTCAGGCTGGCCTTGAACTCTTCATCTTCCTGCTTCCACTTCCCAAGCGCTGGGATTTCACATGTATTATATTAGCTTTTATTCTCATACGTACATTACTTTGTAATAATTACAATTTTCTTAAAATTAAAAAAAAAATAGGTGCTTATTTACTTACCCAGCATTCTGAGAGTCCTTTATTCTATATAAAAGACCTGTGTTACTCCTTAAGAGATCCAACTGACCCTAAAGGTTTTTTTAAACAGAAAATAGTAGTCAATTATTTTGTGTATTCCAGTGATGTGTAAATATAGTTTTAATATTTTTCTCATACAGATAGCTAGTCTATCTCCCACATTTAATTGTCAGTTCTCCACTTAAGACTTAGGTTTTTGCCAACATATCACAAACGTATATTTTTAAAAATATAACTGTTTGAAATTTCAAGCTATCATTACTAACAATGCCCTATATGCTAGATCCTGGCCTGGTCATTTAGCCAAAGCATAAAGAACTTTTAAAAAGCAGTTTTAGAGTAACATACAAAAATCCACATGGAAATCCAAATTGTATGTATGACATGAATGATACAATTAAAATATAAATAAAAACTTCAATTCAGATAAATGATAAACATGCATAAATATTTAATAGCACGCTGACAAAATAAAATTGTAAAAAGTTAACAGTGATATTTACTGATATGCACAATTTTTACTCTGTTATATGTAAGTTAGACAGAAAGGTCAACCAATGAAGAAAAGGCATATATGGTAGTGGTGTTAAGATTTTATTTCTGCGTGTGTGTGTGTGTGTGTGTGTGTGTGCGCGCGTGCACGCGCACGCACATGCAGAGGGTGTTGGATCCCTTGGAACTGGAGTTAAAAGTTATGTGAACAGCCTGACATGGATGCTGTAATAGGGCACCTTCTTGACCTTAGCTATGCCATGTTAAAGTTTAGGCTGACTCTAGTCTCTGAAATTATCGGGCAGTTGCCCAGGGTATGGAAACATGTCAGTTGGACCCCGGTTGTCATGGGAACGGGTCAGACTGTTCCAGAGTGCACCTGCTAACTGCAGATTTATGGCTTCTGTAAGTTATGCTTGGCTCGCTTCTGCAAAATAGTAATTGTTACTTAATAGATCAGAAATTGTTAAGGGGACTCTCCACCTGTAAGTTTGGGAACTTAAGCTTTTCACACCTGGTTATGGTTTCTCTGTATAAAAGCTTACCCTAAACCAGGTGTGGTGGTGCACACCTGTACTCCCAGCACTTGGGAGGCAGAGACAGGTGGATCTCTGTGAGTTCAAGGCCAGCCTGGTATACATAGTGAGTTCCAGGCCAGTTGGGGCTATAGGGGGACCCTGTTTCAAAAAGAACAACAAAAAAAGCTTACCCTAGAGATGGCTCGGTGCTACACACTTAGGTTCCCGACACCCTTGTATAAGCCCTGGCCAGTAATGACTTTAATTTGGCAAAACTTTGTCTGAGTGGTCTTCTCTGGTGAAGCACCCCACAACAATGCTGAGAACCAAAAGGGTTCTCTGCAAGACTGGTATATGCTCTTTAACTACTATCTCTCTACTAGTAGTGGTATTTTTTACATAATGAACCAAAAATAAGATAAAGCATGTTCTATCATGCTTCTGACCTGCCAGGGATCTAACATTTGGAGAATCTGGATATGTACCCCACTGGACTTGAGGCACTTATGGGAAACCGTAGCTGACAGGGGCCCTGTTCCTGTGTTAAGACTGTAAAATATGTTTATCTTCTGGATGAACTGTGATGTTCTCCCTTCCTCCCTTCCCCAGATTCACCGAATAGCAAAGTGAGATCACAAAGCTCCATTCAGAGGTTCCCTTCTGTCATTTTTTCATCCTGTCTGATTCATTTACTAAATGCCTGTACTGTGCCAGCGTTATGATACCTGTTTGAGGGGACAATTTGTTGTTGTAAGTGAAGTACTGGGGCTTGAATCCATGACATCATACATGCTAGGAGTACTCTACCACTGGGGTACACTCTCAGTCACTGCCAAAAGAAATTCTAAAAGGGAAGCACACAGATAACATCAATACTATCTGGTTGGCATTAAGAGAGAAGCAAAGGTAGATAGAGCAAAGGCTGTGGTCTGGGGGCTACCTGGAGACAGTAGCAGAGCTGAATCCTAAAGGTAATGAAGAGTTTGTTTACACAGGAAGGGAAGCCTAGAAATCACTAACACTTCTTTCTCTTTGGGTGAAAACAGAAGTCACAGGCCCAGTTATTTTTTACAAAAAAGTTTTATTAGAAAACAACCAGTCTCATTTTTTTATCACTATCCATGGCTGCTTTATGGCCAAAAAGGCTAAAAGAGACTCCTCTTACCATTTCATAGAAAGTTTCTTTTTTTGGTCTTTTTGAGACAGGGTATTCCTGTAGCTCCAGCTGGCCTGGAACTCGCTATGTAGACCAGGCTGGCCTTCAACTCACAGAGATCCATCTGCCTCCACCTTCTGAGTGCTGGGATTAAAGGTGTTCACCACCATGCCCAGCAATAGAAAGTTTTTTAAATCCCTGAGCCACAAAGTTGAAGAGAATGACTAAACAAAAGGTTTGCCTGTCCCCAATTCTCCATATCTACAGCCCTTAGACATCACAAGGTTGGCAAATTTAAAAAAAAACAAATGAGGCATTCAGATGAGGCCTACTGCAGAACTCTCTTAACTGTTAATAAAACCAAAAGGAAATGTTCTCAGGTAAAGGAAGTTGTGTTTGTTTTTGGTTTTTTTGAGACAGGGTCTTCCTATAGCCCCAGCTAACCTGGAGCTCACTATGTAGACCACGCTGGCCTTGATCTCACAGGAATCCACGACTGCCTCTGCCTTGAGAGTGCAAAGACTAAAGTGTGCCACCACACCTGGCTTAGGTGAAGAGAATTTTGATGATGGTTCATGAAAGGAGAGAAAAATAAGGAGATTTCAAACATGGGGTAGTACTTGAGGTATTTTTCAAAAGTTATAGGAACGGCATTAGGGCTCCAGGTTCTTCAGGATGGCTGAATAGGTTAGAGCAGGCAGGAAGGCTTCACTGAAAAAAACTCACTGTAACATCTCTGGAGGCTGAGGCTGTACTTCCAAAGGCCCAGTACTTGTGACACTAAGTTGGCCTTGTGGAGAGTGATACCCAATGAATAGGCTGTGTGACTCACAGAGAAATCGGAGGGAATATTTATAGAGTATGGCCAAATGAAGGCAGCAGAAGCAAATAGAAGGTGACTAGGACCTATGCGCTCCTTTGTACCAATTAGGTTAATACATCCAATTGGCTATATCAAAATATAAGCATTTTCTTCATCTTTTCAAATGGTATGTATTTATTTTTTCTTTCAATTCAGCAGTCTGAGCTATTTCCTGGTTTTCACTCTCACTGGCCACAATATAATATGCATTCTGGTTTTATGGCTAGTGTACTGGGGTTCTGCAGAGGAAAAAAAAATTAGTTCACTAAAAAGAGGCTTATTTATAGGATATTATCAGTTCATGTAATTATGGTGGGTGAGAACTTCTGTAATCTACCTCTCGCAAACTGGAAATCCAAGAAAAGCCAGTGGCATACATCAATGGTGCAGATCTGATGCATGGGCCTGGAGACAGAGGCAATAGTGTAGATGGAATCTGAAGACCCAAGAACCAGGAGTGCTGAAGGCAGAAGACTGGTACCTGAGCTCACACAGGCACAGAGTAAATGCATTTGTCCTCCACCTATTTGTTCTATTTAGACTGACAGTGGATTGGATGGTCCCCAGTCACTTGCTATACTCAGTTCACCAATTCAAATACTACCATCTTCTAGAACTTCTCAGAAACAGTATGTAGCCAGATACCTAAGAATCTCATTGCCCAGTCAAGGTGATGCGTAAAGTTAACCATCATAACTACATGCCAGGAAGCAATGACAATCATAAAAAATAAGCAATTACAATAACTAGTTGGATTCACCTTACCATAGACAATAGTCTATTGATAGCCACTGCCCGTTGTTGGGCTTCTATATGAGGCATTTCATTCTGAATAACTTGATCTGTGATTCCATGAGGGAACTGGTGACATAGTTCTATAATTCTAGAAACAAAGACATTAATAATTTGTTACTTGTTTCAAGAGATAGTGGGGGGATACAAACAGTACAATTAAATATTAAAGTTGAGGCGTCAATGTTATCAAGTCGGGGAAGATTGACCAATGTGGACACTTCTGGTAGACTATGGGAAAAGAAAATTTGTTATGGCAATTCAGCATACCTGTTTGTGCAATTATCCCTGCGAACCAATCCAAATTTGTTTTAGCATTAATAAACGTATTGTTCATAATAGTTCAGAAAGCTTGGGGTCTTTCAAAACTACGTAGCAACCTAAAAATACCAGTCGTAAAACTGAGGAGTAGCTTTTAAGGCACGCACTGAACCCACTTGGCTCAATAACGCTTTGTAATCACACACTGAACCCTGACTTGGTCCAAACGTTCTGATGCGGAGATTCCCTTGGTGATACAGCAATCCTGGATTCGAACCTATGTCCGCAAGCACTGCGGGGGGGAAAACACAGGTCTCTTCCCGGGCATCGGCCGCCGTCACATTCCAAAAGCATCCTCACTTCGTCTACAGAATCTCGGCAAAGCCAGTTACGTAAAACTGCAAGCAGCAGCGTCTGTCTTCAACTTTTGGAGTTCCGGGTCGGGGACCCAGAGCCCCGCAATCGTTGGCGGGTGTTCACACAGCCTGCTCCAGCCTCTCCCCGGGACTCCCGAAGGGGTCCGGCTGCCCAGCTGACCGGGAATCCAGCCTCGCTGCTGCTTTACCTGTTTTCAATTTCCACCGGATCCGCGTCTGGAGGCTGCACCTTCACCTTCACCTCGGCCATGACAACGGTTTCAAACCCACGAGGAAAAGACGCACGGAGAAGCGCGTTGGGAGCCCTGGAAACTGGTGAAAGCACGCACCGACCAGACAGGGTCCTTCCTCATCGGGTCGCGCCGGGCCAGGTCCTTGCCCCCGGCCCTCACTGTGGCCTGCTTAGGGCGTCCAGACCGCGCCTGCTCCGCGCCCCCAGCGGCGCCTCCACAGCACCTCGCCTCTGTTGTCCAGAATGTCAGTGCCCGTCGGACCAAAGGGCCTGGCTCCCGCACGCTGGAAGGGGACGCCCCGGTTGCCCTATCCAGCTCCGAGAAGGCATATTCTTGGATGCCTACAGCAGAGCCTTGCGGAAGGAGCTGAGGCGGGTCCAGCGGCAAGGGCGGGGCTGGTTGCTAGGAGCCGATTTCCCTGCCAATCATCTGCCCAGTGGGCGGGGCGCGGCCTGCAGCGTCTGTGGTAACCGGGACCGCTGCGAAGAAGCTGCAGGGAGGCGGTGAGAGGCAAGCGACGAGGTTAGGGGTGGCGTATTTGCATCGGGGGACCTCCTTTCAGTCCGCGAGGCTGGAGGAGGCAGAGGAGAAGGGCCTCTGTCACTCCAGCCGAAGGGATGCATGCATGTCCTGCCCCGCGAGGCCCAGGAGCGGACCCGAGTCCTGGCCTGCGCTGCTAAGAGAGGGTTCAGATGGAGGATGTTGGGAGGGCTGATGGCATGCCACCCACAGCATGCTGCGGTTTGGTCCTAGCGAATCAGCCGCCTTCTCTATGTCCTTTGCCTGAGGTCCATGACCATCCCAGCCCCCCAAGGGCAGCTAATAGTTAATCGTGTCCAGTTAATCTGCCCAGCTGTGTTTATTTAGAACTGTTTTCGATTGTTTTTATTTTAACGGACTCTTACTCGAATGGAAATGTGAGTATAGGCAAATCTCTCCACATCCAGTCTCATTTCTATAGGATCAAGTGCTGTTCCATCAATACCTGTAGTTTATATTCTTGGCCCTCGATCTGGAACTACCCAAAAAGGCATTAAGTTCACCTTTTAAATTTTGTTGTCCCGCTTTCCAGAACAAAATTGTCAAATCAAAACACAAAGATGTTCAGACCAACATTATCAGAATTCCGACTATCAATCCTTAAGAAGGAAAAAAAAAAAGCCTAGAAATAACCTCAGCATCAAACAACAAATTGGTACATGGAAAATTGTGAATAAAAATGAGGATGCAGCCAGGCGTGGTGGTGCATGCCTTTAAATCCTAGCACTTGGGAAGCAGAGGCTGCTGGATAGAATTCGAAGACAGCCTGGTCTACATAGCAAATTCCAGGTCAGCTGGGACTACAGGAAGACCCTGTCTCAAAAAGACCAAAAAAAAAAAAAAAAAAACCCGAAATGAGGATACAAGATATAATAAGATTGCATGAATATGTAGATTATGATTGAGTAATTATGTAGCCATAGTCATTGAAACCACAATGCAAGATGTAAATGATTGCTGTACTAAGATGACCCCCCCCCAAAAAAAGACCAATAAGGTCTCCCTCCTGGTTGTTATTTACAATAGAGAGAGTAGGAAGCTTGTGTTTTATTGGTCTTCATTTATATACATGCCAACTTCCTTTCAACAGTCTTTCCAAAGCATATTTGCAGCTTTCAAATATAAAGACCACTGTGGCAACAAAGGTAAGATCGTAGTCATAGAGCTTTCCTAAAGAAGTTGGCTCTAAATAGTTCATGCTGTGTGCACAGTTGCATGTATCCCCTATGTGTGTTGACTTGCCTTAAAACAGAAGAGACAGAGAAAGAGAGAGAAGGAGAGGGAGAGAGTGCTCTAGAGGGAGGCAGTAAAGAGTAATAGTGATTTTGAGGGAACTGAGCATTAGTGATAGTCTGTTCTGCCTAATTCAGCTATCTGCCCACTTAACGCCTATCTAGTTCATTCATGCTCCTTCATTAGATGTAAGGTATTTAGATGAATCTCCAAAAGACCTCGACAGCAAACACACAGCTGAAATGTAATAATCATTTCACTTACTAAATAAGGCAATATCTGTAGGTGATATATTAATGATATTCTCTTCAGGGATTACTGTCTTGCTGCATTTAAAAGGCGTGTTACTCTAGTTTTGTGTTCATGATGAATTTTTTATCTAATTTTTTGATGTAAGGAAAGACTATGACTGCTGGTTCAGTGTGTGTCCCTCAGATCATACCACTGCGGGTGCCTCAGCCTGGAAAAGCTAACCATGAGATTGATAACAATACTCTTTTGGAAATGAAATCTGGTAGGAATCACATGTATTTGAAATTATTTAAAATAATATTGTCATACTCTGTGTTCATGTTCTTGCTAATTGATCTCTTTGCATGTTTTTTATATTGTGCTCTAGAAGCTTGTAAGTCTTAGACATTTTGAAACAGTGTTGTTATTTCATGGTTTGTAGAGTGGTATATATGTGTGTATGTATGTATGTATGTATGTATTTGTGTGTGTGTGTGTGTGTGTGTGTGTGTGTGAGAGAGAGAGAGAGAGAGAGAGAGAGAGAGAGAGAGAGAGAGAGAAGGTCTTACTATGTAGCCAGACAACTGTGTAGCCCAGGCTGACCTTGAACTTGCATTAATCCTCCTGTCTTGGCCTCTCACATGCTGAGATTACAGGCATGTAACACCGTGCTGGTCTGAATACTTCATATTTAAATTAAAAGGAATAGCTTTGCTTAAGGTTCTCGTTGCAACAGGGTCTTGGCTCACCTGAGACAAGGTATCCAGTTGCTTCTCCAACCTTTCCCAGGATGCTCATTGCTTTTCTGGTTAGAGATTCAATCCAGATTTGACAACTTCTAGGGACCTTGGACATTACTTAGTCTTTCTGAGTCTTGGTGTCCTCATGGTAGAATGAGGATAATCATCTCTACCATCTGAAGCCACTGTGAGGATTAAATGAGTTGGTGTATATTGGTATATATATATATATCAGTTAGCATATCAAATCAGTATCTGTGAGGTGCACAAGGTTTAGCCTATAGTAAAAGAAATCTTAACTATTACAAAAATAAAGCAGTGGATGTATTTGCAGATAACATTTATTTTTCAAACTCTTAAATATATATGTATATATGTAATCAATGCAGAGAAGTTTTATAAATAAGATATAAAAACAAATTTTTGTATAAAAGGATTTTTAGATTCAAATTTTATGTTTTTAAATTTTTTGATAGCTTAAATGTATATTAACTGCCTGGATTTGTAATACAAGCCCTGTGTTCCCTAGTCTCAGAATTCCTACTAAGAATAAGATACATAATTATACCATGTCCTCCTTTATCTTAAAAACTAGTATGGTTTTTAAAATCATAAATCAAAAGTTTAAACATATGGGCTTATAGCTTTTCGAGAAGTAGGACTATTCCTGAAAAGTGGATGATATGGCTGACAGAGTATCTATACTCTCTAGCATTTAAATGTCAAATAAATAAAGAGGTCCCACAGTTCAATACTAAAAAGAATAATAATTCAGTGGGCAAGGAAGGTGGTTGTGGTAGAGCATACCTGTAATGCCAGCACGGGGGAGACTGAGACAGGAGAAATGTGGGAGAGAAAGATAAAAAGATAGGAGGGAAGGAAGAAGGAGGGAAGAAAGTGAGTTTGGCTTAATGGTAAAGAGCTTACCTAACATGACCAAGGCCCTGGGTTCAATCCCCAGTGCTGCAAAATTAAGAAATAAAAAGCAAAAATGAAATAAAGAAAAGTGCTGCAGTTTTCTTTCACAAGCAGAATCTATACTTAAAAAAAAAAAAGGTTAGCTGGGCATGGTGGTGTACGCCTGTAGTCCCAGCACTCGGGAGGCAGAGGCAGGCAGATCTCTGTGAATTCAAGGCCAGCCTGGTCTACATAGTGAGTTCCAAGACAGCTGGGGCTACAGGGAGACCCTGTCTCAAAAAGACCAAAAAAAAAAAAAAAAAGACTTGGAAGTAGAGGAGGAGCTATGGGAGGAAGAAGGAACAGTGGGAACAGGAGGGAAGGCAGGAGAGAGTAATAGGGGAATGAATAAGGCAAAAGTGCATGATATGCATGTGTGAAAATATTATAGTGATGCCCATTACTTTTTCCAACAAATATACATTAATAATAAAAAAGAATGAAAGAAAAATCAATAAAAGATATGAAAAACATTTCTATAGGAAAGGAAATACAAATGTTCCTTCCAGGCTGGAGAGATGGCTCAGCAGTTTAAGAACACTGGCTGTTCTTGCAGAAGACCCAGATTTGAATCCCAGCACCTACATGGCAGTTAACAACTGTCCATAACTCCAGTTCCAGTGGTTCCAGCCCCTTCTGTCCTCTGCAAGCACTGCACAACACGGGTGCACTTACCTACATGCAGGCAATACACACATATACATAAAATGAAAAATATCAATAAATTTTAAAAAATTGTAATGTATTATATTTGAGGAGGAAGCATGGAAATTTACATCATGTTAGTTAATAGAGGTGATAAACATTACCATTGCAATCTCCCCTATGACTTTATAGACATACACAGGCGCCAAAGATCCAAGCGCAACCGATTATGACTAGTAATAATCAGATACATGCAGATTAGAGATGCATGCACCAACATCTCAGTGTTAGTAGCAAAAACAATGAGTCTTTCTGCAAGGAACAATATATTCTAAAATGAAATGGAGATGTTTTTTAAAAGTTTAAAATTCATTCAATTTTATGTCTTACAAGGTTTATACTGAATTCAATATTGTATAACTATATTAATTCAGCTGTGAACCTAGAAACTTACAGCCACTTGTGAAAGAGATGTACTCTTGCTCTGGAGTGTGTTACTGAATATGTTAAAGCTGTAATGAAATTCTTCTTCTAATCATGTAGTTATTAAAAATTAAAAAAAAAAACAATCCAAATGTTCCTTCCATAAATGAAGATAAGCTTCTTTCCCACCCCTTCGCCTGTTTACTAGGAAGCACTTACATCTTGTTTAATTTACTCCATAATACTTAATCACTGTCTAACAAAATGTATTTTCTTATTCATCTGTTTACTGTTTGTGTGCTCTCAAATGTATGCTCCATGAAAGAAGAAATATGTGGACTAGGGCATAAAGTGCACCATTGATGTCCAAAGGGAAGGGGATATAAGAATATGAACTATTGCTTATATGGATATGAAATTTCTGTGAAGGAGCCCAAGACACATGGGTATCCAGTATAAAGGCAGGAGGAAAGGTTTTCATTCTACAGGCATTTTTAACCTTTTAAATTTGAAACTGACCAATTTATTATATTTAAATTCTTCTAAGAAAAATAGGAATTATTTACCGAGTCCAAATAAAATACAATAAAGCATTTCTTAAGAAATGCTTGAAAAAGGGCTGGAGAGATGGCACAGCGGTTAAGAGCACTGACTGTTCTTGCAGAGGACCCTGTTTCAATTCCTAGCACCCACATGGCGACTATAAACTGTCCTTAACTCCAGTTCCAGGGTAATCCAAAGCCCTCTCTGACCTCCAAGGCATTGCACGGCATGGGCGCACTCACATACATGCAGGCAATACACTCATACACATAAAATAAAAATAATAAAGGGGCTGGAGAGATGGCTCAGCGATTAAGAATATTGACTGTTCTTGCAGAAGACCCGGGTTCGAATCCCAACACCCATGTGACAGCTAAAAACTGTCCGTAACTCCAGTTCCAGGGGATCCGACGGCTTCTTCTGTCCTCTGTGGGCATTGCACAACACAAGTGCACTTACCTACATGCAAGAAACACACACACATAAAATAAATAAAGATGTGCTGGGTGTGGTGGCACACGCCTTTAGTCCCAGCACTCAGGAGGCAGAAGCAGGCAGACCTTCATGAGTTCAAGGCCAGCCTGGTCTACATAGTGAGTTTCAGGGCAGCTGGGGCTACAGGGAGACCCTGTCTTAAAAGCAACAACAAAAAGAAACGTTAAAAAAAAAAAAGGGTAATTTGTTTCCTCTGTGATTTGAACTATCTTAATACTGACCCCTATTTGTATTGATACCTTATTGGCGAGGCAAAAGAGCACAATGGGTCAAGGTCATGGGATGTGGGCTCAGCTTAACAGAAGTGAAATCACACCTCCTATCTATATATATATATATATATATAATGGATTAAAAAAAATAGCACCTACCTCATAGTTATATCGATGAAATAAGCTCATTTGTGCAAAGTATTATGTTAGCATAGTCAAAAGAATTGTTAGTCATTTCTGATACTGTGTGTGTGTGTGTTCTCCTTCACAGATTATAAGCATTATATAGGAACTTATTATTTTTTGTGAATTATAATTATCCTGTTCTGGATTTTTCAGACACCCCAGATGTCAGCATATATTACACCCTGGATGGCAGCAAACCTGACTTTCTAAAGAGAATTGGTTTTGGTGAAAATAATACATTTAAGTATATAAAACCTATTACACTGCCTGATGGAAAAATACAAGTTAAAGCTGTTGCTGTCTCTAAGTAAGTTAAGAGCATGGTGAACAAACTAACTTATAATAGAATCACAGTGTGTTCTGTTCTGTTTTTTGTTTTCTTGTTTGAGACAGGGTCAAACAGGGTCCCTAGCTGGCCTGGAACTCACTATATAGACCAGGATGGCCTCTGCCCTAGAGTGCTCAGATTAAGATTAAAGGCGTGTGCTACACTGTCCTTTTTTTTTTTTTTTCTTTTTTTCTCAGAACAATCAGTGCTGCATTAGAAGGCCACTAACGAAAAAGTTATGATAATTTCAGCATATATATATATACATATATATAATTTGCCTTTTATTGAGGTAATGTAAAGTACACAAATCATGACATACAAGTCAATAAGTGTATATATTAATAATATTTTTATTGCAAATTCCACATCGGGGTTCCTAGAAGGAAAGCCTGTCTAGAGCTTTCTAAAGAGCTTCTTTGGCTCTGAGAAAGCACTGTTTGGAGAATAGTTATTTTATTTCTTGGGATGTCACCTAACTCATCACCATCATTCTGTGTTTCATTCTGTATTGACTCAATTGACTTTAAAAACTACTGTCTTTTCAACCTGGACAATAGACACTTTATTTTTATTTTTCCTACATCTTTTCTTTCCTACTCCCATTTTCAAACATGGAAACACTACTTAACTCAAATTCATAGTATGGTGTAGGTTTTTGTTTTGTTTTGTTTTGTTTAAACTCAGATGCTTAGCTAATGACAGAGGAATCATTTTGTTGAGTGAAACAGGTTTGGCCACATTCTGAGACCCCCTTCTAAGCTCCAAACCCAATCAATACCTGTCAGCCTAGGTACTTTATTTTTTCTTTCAGCTAAGGCATTTTATTTATTCATTCATTTATTTATTTATTTATTTATTTATTTATTTTATTTTTACAAAAGGGAGGAGATTACAGACTATTGAGAAAAGAGACCTGATTAAAAGGAACATTTTGGAGGGAGGGGAAGAAAGATCTAGGAAGAGAGATCTCATTTCTGTGACATTTCTGTGACTACTTTGTTCTCATTCAAGGCCTCAGAAAGGAGAGCACATGTCACATTCAATAAATGTGTGCTTGGAAAACTAAATTGTTTGGCATTTAAGTGTCATGGCCAACACAGACATTAATAAATTAATTAATTAACTAACTAGTTAATTGTTTTCTTAAAAAATGAATAAAAAAGCTAAGTTTAGTATGGTAGCACATGCCTATAATTCTAGCACTCAAGAGGCAGAGGCAGGAGGATCACAAATTTGAGACCAGGCTGCAATCCTGGGGATTGAACTGTATACCAAGTTCAAGGCCAGCCTGGGCTGTATAACAACTTATTAAACAGCTTCAGAAACATAGAAAAAAGAATTAAGAAACTAAGCACTCTGGGACTTAATGCTATAAGGCGAACGTCCTTAGAAACTGCGAGTAGCAACCAAATGAAATCAAATTAAGGACTCCCTATACAGTTTGAAGGAAAATAAGATCATTCTTCATGCTCCCACCAACTCGCTCCACGCCCTCTAAGTATTTATCTGGAAAGCATTGTCAGGATGTCAAATGTGGACAGCTCAGGGGAAGTGTGCATAGTACTTATTTAGATTTGTAAATGCTGATGGAAATCATATCACTGAAGTTAGTTTCTAAGTACTTAAAGTAATTAGTCTTCCAGTACAGAAACATAAATGAGATCATTAAAAATGGAAGTTCTTTAATATGTTATGAGTAATGAAGTAATGCCATGAAGTTCTGAATGACTTAGGAAAATAATAACAAATGAACAAAATCAAGATACAAGTTTATACTATATTATTTTAACTGTGTTTAAAGATTTGTGGTGGCTCCACACCTTTAATCTCAGCACTTGGGAGGCAGAGGCAGGCAGATCTCTGAGAGTACATAGGGAGTTCCAGGCTAGCTGGGGCTATAAACTACAGAGAGACCCTGTCTCAAAAAGACCAAAAAAAAAAAAAACCCCAAAAAAACAAAACAGAAAAAAGACTGGGAGAAAACAGGAAGACTTTGGCAATCATTGCTTTTAAAGGTGTAGTCATGTGTGTTTGATTTTTTCTTATAATTTTTTACATTTATATATTTATTTTGTAGGGGTGGGGGTTGTGCACACATGTGTACATGTGGAGGTCAGAGGACAACTTTGTGAAGTTGGTTCTCACCTTCCACCGTGTGGGTTCTGGGGATTGAACTCAGGTCGTCAAGCTTGGCAGCAAGTGTCTTCACTTGGCAGTGCTCTTGATAATTTTAACAGCTTCCACAATTTAGCAGTGAGCATAACTATTGTGATAATAAGAAAAAAAGGGACAAAAAGTAAAGAATGTCTGATGCTTCTCAGTCTTAGCTTCTCAGTTAGCTTTGTTGCACAATAAACCACTCTCAAACTGAGTGTCTTAACTGAACAACCATTCATTTGCTCATTATTCTATGGTCAGTAGACTGGTTCCGCAGGTCTTGTCTAAGTTCACTGATGTGGCTATAGTCATTTTGGGCTCACCTTCAGGAGGATGGTCCAAAAAAGCTTCATTTGCATTGTTGATGTTTGGTGCTAGCAATTGGCTGAGCACTGTCCTCCAGCAGACTATCTTGGAGGGTTTTTTTGCGGCACTTCAGTTCCAAGAGCAATAAGAGAAAGGTCAAGCCCTGCAGGTGACTTTCTGGTTTCTGTTTGAGTCTCTTTGCTGATTTCCTTAACAAAAGCAAGTTACATGGCCACACCCAAAGTCAGTGTCATTCTACAATGACGGGGATCCAGGGAGGCAGGGTACAACAGGGACTGTCCACCCACACTTCTATTAGAATCACACTGCCTGTGGCCAGGCCACTCTCATACCAGTCAAATAGTCTCTTAGAGTGGAACCAGGTATCAGTGTTTTTAAAATTTCCAGACTCAGTGCTACATTAATCAATGGAAAAAAATCTTGCTACTTGTAGAAATATGACTGATAGAACTTTTTGGAAATACATGCTTATTAAAGTGCGATATTCTAGGATAAGAAGAAAGGAATTAATATTCTTTTTCTGTGTGTCTCTGTCTCTGTATGTTCTCTCGGCATCTCTCTCTGTGTCTCTCTGTCTCTCTCTCTGTCTCTCTCTCTCTCTCTCTCTCTCTCTC